CAGCATCTGTGAATTTCTTGTACCAATTATTTACAATCTTTAATGAAAACAAAAAAAAACATTTTGTTATTAAAATCAGGTTCTTTAGCATAATACGTTAACTTATTTTGAGAAAATCCAAGCAAGCATTTACGAATAATAATGGACGATTTATAGAGTGCATATTGTTTGGACCTCTATGGGCTTCACAAACATGAAAACAAAAACAGACCAAGAAAGTAATACTTAATTTAACCCTTAAGGACATACTATAACCTACTCATTGAACTAAGCGAACTTGGTTGGCAAATCAAGTAGCTCGTCTACTCTTTGTTTAGTAGAGCAACTGATTGGTAAACAGTAAGCGCCGAGTTTCGATTCTTGTTTCACTACTTAAAACATTAGGGTTGAACACAAACTGTATTCATCAGCTATATCAGGCCACAACATTATGGGAGATGTGCGTGTGTGTGTGTGGTGGTATTTACCTGTCCATGGTCATTCTCTAGTATTCTAACCAAGGTTTCTCTTCTTTCACTATCCTTACGCAGCATATAGAACCCCACAGTGGAGTCTTTTTCGGGTGTGCCTGTGGTATCACTACCATCATCACTATAGAAATAAAGACAAACAATTCATTTTACATAAAGCAGCAATGTACTAATCATCCTAATTAGTAATTAAAATATACCTTTTAATGTCAATATAAATTATATAAATAAATAAAATAAATATAAATATAAAAATGAATGTTATGTATCTGGCATACACATTTACATTTAAATACCAATATCATTATTCTATAAAGGAGTTGAATTTCTTTTAAAAAAATTGCCAATAAGTATGCCCAGTAAGCATGGTTTATATATGGAAACTGACATGAAAGACTAGTGAAATATTAAGATCTTGTTAAAGAGATTGTGAAAGAGCACTAGTAAGCTTGCAGTGTCCCTGTCGGCAATTCTCTAAGCATTGATGTTCTGTGATCTCAAACCTTGTTTGAATATCTCTCAAACAAAACATCCAACTATAGGTTAAAGATTCAAATCACCCTACTCAAAAAAAAAATAATAATAATAAAAAATTTTAAAAGAACTGTAAGAGATAATTGCACAGAGCACTGGTAAGCTTAGAGTGCCTTTGTCGGCAAGTATCTAAGCATTTATGTTCCGTGATCTCAAACCTTGTTTGAATATCTCTCAAACAAAACATCCAACCATGGGTTGAAGATTCAAATCACCCTACTCAAAAAAAAAAAAATAATAATAATAAAAATTTTTTAAAGAACTGTTAAGAGATAATTGCACAGAGCACTGGTAAGCTTGCAGTGTCCCTGCTGGCAATACTCTAAGCATTGATGTTCCGTGATCTCAAACCTTGTTTGAATATCTCTCAAACAAAACATCCAACCACGGGTTAAAGATTCAAATCACCCTACTCAAAAAAAAAATAATAATAATAATAATAAAAATTTTTTAAAAGAACTGTAAGAGATAATCGCACAGAGCACTGGTAAGCTTGCAGTGCCTCTGTCGGCAAGTCTCTAAGAATTGATGTTCCGTGTTCTATAACCTTGATTGAACGGTTCTCAAACAAAGCATATATCCACACGGGTAAAGATAAGAAGACTAAAATAAAAAAACATACGGTGAAAGAGAGCTTTGTTCAAGAAGTCCAAAAGGTGGTCGCTTATCACCTCTGTAAAGCAAAAACAAGACTAACTAATGTAATATTGAAAGCATTACATATGAAAGTGTAGGAGAAACCATCACTAAACAGATATTTTACTTCAAACCTAAGAAATGGATGTAACAATTTTTAAAATACTTAGTTATTCATAAAATCTAATGCACTCATACCAATTGATAATTACCTCAAAATGAGGTTTTGAATTCGCCGCAGTCTGTGGTCTGTCGAGCTGTCAATCTGTCTGTCTGTTAGCAAGATTACTCAAAACTAATGAATGGATCATCATAAAAATTAGTGGAATGGTACATAATAATTGAAGGAAGGCACCATTCAATTTTCAGAATAAAAGGTCAAAGGACAAGCTAATGATTTTTTTTTTACCCTCAAGCATAAAAGAAAATAATGGAAAAGCCCCTTGTATTCTGGCAGCTCAAGAAACTAATGTCTCTGAATATGACAGACGATTCGATTACATTCTTGAGTCCATGCGGCAGCACTCAAGAAAATAATGTGCCTGAATACGACTGGCGATTCAATTATTCCTTTGAGGGTATGCTGCAGTTTCACTCATCATACACAACCTGTATATTATTGATATCCAAGCACAGGGTGGAGGTATGCACACTATGGAGTGTCTTCTCTAGTAATGACAATTACCTTTCTCTTGGCTCAGTTGATGATGAAGGTTCACACTCTATTATGGAAGGTGAGCTTGGTCGGTCTAAGCTAAGCTGAATCCTAGGGGATGGTGCTTTAAAAAAAAAATATAATTAGGAGAGTGTAGACGGTTCACATAATAGTTATGATAGCTACATGCTAATTGAACAAGGTTCAGAAAATAGTCAAACCTGACTTGCATACAAGTCACATGTTAGGGTGATAGTCACATGAAAGTCACATGCTAGCTAAACAAGGGTCAGATGACAGTCAAATGAGAGTTAGCCAAGATAAAATTGCTGTCAACTCACTTGAAATACTTCTGTCTCTCTTAAAGTCCGATTTTGCTTTCTGTGGAGAATGTAGCGATTGTTTTCGTTTAAGGAAAGTATCACGGAGAAGTTGGCTGGCCGTCGCTCTCTTATCAGGATCTGGTTCAAAACATCTTGAGATGAGAAAAACAAAAATTAGATCAGTGATTGATGATCAGTGTTTCATTTAAATTTGATAAACTATTTTCCCCCAGATTTTAATTCTAATGTAGTCCATGAATAGTTATTGATTCTCATCTCAAAACATGTACTGTACAATGCCTCACGAACATTTCAAAGTGTCAATCAAACTTAACAAGAGACCAATCAGAACTGGGCCAGATATACTATACCCACAAACATATACTTTGTCCAACATTTACATGTGTTTATGTTGTTGTTATATGGGACCTGAGTAACAATATAAAAGAGTTGGAGCTTAGCAAAAATGGCGGTTAAAAAGATGGACCTATGCAACAAACATTCTACTGTATGTGAGACTTGTGTTGTGTATGTTTGTGAGACTTATGTTGTGTATGTTTGTGAGACTTACACTGTGTATGTTTGCGAGACTTATGTTGTGTATGTTTGTGAGACTTATGCATGTTTGTGAGACTTATGTTGTGTATGTTTGTGAGACTTATGTTGTGTATGTTTGTGAGACTTATGTTGTGTATGTTTGTGAGACTTACGTTGTGTATGTTTGTGAGACTTACGTTGTGTATGTTTGTGATACTTATGTTGTGTATGTTTGTGAGACTTGTGTTGTGTATGTTTGTGAGACTTGCGTTGTGTATGTTTAGATATTAAAAGAAAACATTCTGGGATCTGCCAGATTTGAACACTGGAATTATTTAGATCTTAAGATACAGTTTTACTTGTAATAAATTTCAAAAATGTTAAAAGCTGTTGAAGGCAGGATATATTAAAATTGGATAACAGAATGGTTACCTGAGTATAAAGTTCTTGATCATATCTGACATAGATTCTGGAATCTCAGGATGCAGTTTGTAAAAGCCAACTTTAAACATGGCCGCCTCAGGAGAACCAAGCTGAGAGATCGAGAGAAAAAACACATAACGTTGGATTTATCCAGTTTAAACACCAAGGATACTCCACAAAAGTCTAGAAGACGACTTATTTCCAGACACTTCCCTACTCTTTTCCGAAGAGTGTACTAAGTTCTTTAACGAGCACATGGGCCATAAATGCACACAGGACCTCATCCGAAAGACGGTGCGCTATTGTAGCCCTCCAGCTGAAACACAAGGACAGGGGGCGATGGGAATTGAACCAGGGACCTAGAGATCGCCACGGTTCAGCACACAGTGACTACCACCAGATTAGCCGACTGAGCTAAGTTGCTCTCTTGAACGTTGTGCATTGCTTCTATCCTATTAAACTCTCCCCACACTATCAAATTTTGTTTGAACAAAATCTGTTGTATGCCCATATATAGTCATGATGTGCCTATATATGGTCATGATGTGATGTCATCATGACCATATTTAGGCATTTCACATGTTTTTGTCAAACAAAATTTGATAGTCTGGACACGGCTTTAAAATCGAATTGGCTGTGTAATATATTTAATATTTGAATATACTGTATTAAAAAAAAAATATGACACATATTATTATTATGATTATTATCAATTTAAAAGTAATATTACTAAAATTATCATCAACTTACTTCAACAAAAGGTGGCTTACTAGTGGCCATTTCAACAATTGTGCAACCAAGGGACCACATATCAGCCTGAGATATCAAGGAAAAAGACATCATCAATAAAGATGTCAATAAAAATGTCCAGAAAAGGAAAAAAAAAATCAACTCACACAATCATTATCATCAATATCACAAACATATTTATTGTATAATCATTATAATTACTATTGACTCAATTATAAATATGAAAATCATTTTTTATTGATTTAATCTAAATTATTATAAGTTTAGCTATTATTACTTTTACCCTAGTATTAATTACAATAGCTTTGTATACTCACAGCTGCACCATAGCCACGGATGCCCTTGTCAATAACTTCTGGAGCCATATACTGTAGCGTACCTGAACAGAAAATAAAACAAAATATTTAAAAATACACAAATCAATCGTGATGTTGGTAGTCTATGAGTGAGATACTTACCTGGATAACCGACTAATTGCCATTGTTCCCAAAACGGAACACCCCTTCGAAAAAAAATGGAACAGTACGACCCAAGGCGCCACGTGCGAACCGTCTCCCTAACAAACGTCCTCATTCCCTAAAGATCGACACGATCACGGCGAGGGTAGGAAGGGAGGGAAAGTTATCCAGGTAAGTATCTCACTCATAGACTACCAACATCACGATTGATTTGTGTAGTCTATTTCGTGAATACTTACCTGGATAACCGAACAGAAAATAAAACAAAATATTTAAAAAACAATATTTTACTTAAATTGTGTCATCCCATGTCAACTTTTTTCCAGTCCAATTGCTTTGTAAAATTAATTGCCATTATTAACAATTTCTTTATATTTTACTTTTTTTTTCAAATTACCTTTGAATGAATCTGCACAAGGGTTTAAAGCGGCCAATCGTTTTGAAGTACCAAAGTCGGAGATCTTGAGCACCCCACTATAGGTGTTGACAAGAACATTGTCCCCTTTAATGTCTCGATGCACTATCTTCTGGTCATGCTAAAAGGCACAGAAAATAGACATAGTTATACACAGTTATATAGCTAGTTCTATCTACTTGATCCTAAATTTTATACCTTTAATACATAAAGAAATTATTCAGTCTAGCTTTTGGTGTAAAATTGTATAAATCATATTAACTGGGATGAAGTATGGTATCACCGAGTTAAATGTATGAAATAAAACACAAAAGTTGCCCAGTTTTTATTTAAACTAATACATCAAATTTTACCATGTAATAAAAGACTGAAAATATGGAAATTAGTCACAAATGATAAGTGTAATAATTGTTGTAAACTGGTAGAAGACGAACACCATATGTTATTTATGTGTTCAAAGATAAAGCCTATATCGATACGCTTTAACAAGATAATTACTAAGTGCTTTCCTGGCGTAAGACCTATAAGCTAGATAAATGTAATTGTTGGAACCAACAAGAATATGGCAAATGAGCTTTTGTCTTTGCTGACGTTTTGCATTTATAAAGCATGTCTAAAAACGAAAATTGATAAAAAAACTAAAAATTGATAAAACGGTCATTTGGATTTCTTTTACATTAGAGGTTAAACTTCAAATTGAAAATGAATACGCATGTAACATAAATAAAGCAAATATGAAATGGTCACATGTAAAAAAATATTCTCCTGAAAGCGTTAGCCTAATTCCTAATTATTATTATTATTAATGTTGTTGATAAAAAATTGAATGAAATAACCAATTAATAGGGAGATTTTGCAACCTTATGAAAAAGATAACAAATACGAATACGAATGTGTCATCTTCATTATTGTCATTCATGCCAAAAAACATTCTTGACATTATGTGCACAAGATGAATATGATCACTGATTAATGTAAAAGGCATAGATTCATCTACGTTGTGACAAATACACTACTGTACGGGATGGACTGACTAAACATTTAATGACATAGCCGTATTGGTTATCATTTTCGTAAGCTTGCAAACCTTGTGTATTATTGGTTGTAGCGGAGACATCTTGTCTAACCATAGAAATCTTATCGACTAATTCAAAGAAACTAGTATTTGCAATTTGAAATTTTAAACAAAATGTTACAGAGAAACATCAGCATTATCTTCATGAATATTTATTAAAAAAATAAATAATACAACATACCAAATATTCTAGGCCTTCAAGGATTTGTTTGGTGTAGAAAGCAATAGTGTTTTCACTGTCTTTTAATGGACCCCACTTCAACCGAAGCAGAACTGACAAGCTACCTGTTGGGAAGAAGTTAACACAATGAGAGAATCTCTTCTGATCTATTTCTGAAATACATGGAAACATACTATAACAGAAGTACAGTAAAACTCTTTTTTCTGTCAATTTCTTTTCAGCATCTTGAGTATTGCTTGCAGCCTTTTTTTATAAATGTATTACTGAAAACAAAAGCTATGACCATCACAGTCACTAATAATACTACACATGCAAGCCTCGAATTTAACGGCGGTCATCGCGGCAAGGTGCCCTCCCAGTTAGCCTTGGTGCCCCTGAAAATGAAGCACAACGACAGCCACTAATTGCCTGCCCTTTTGCAGCCTTGGCCTCGGTGCCCTCATGACGCTTAATATAGATCGTTTGACACTTAAAATAAATCCAAATAAGAACGTTCAAATCAAAAACGTAGGTTGCCTAGGCTAGCATAGCATAGGCCTAAGGTTGCAGTGACAGAACATGAGAGAATTTCCATGTGTGTTGATACGAACTGTTTTTGCGGTTACCGTTGTGTGCGCATGCATCTGACTCAAGTTGTAATTGCAGTAAACATGTGCTTGCTGTGCGCAGCTAGCTTTGGGCGATCTGACATCATCGCAGCTCAAGCGTGTGAAATTAACCTAAATTGGTTGATACTCGGCTAATCTAGTTGATGACGGCCAGTTTAGAGGTGTGGCCTCCTCTCCAATGACGACGGTCTGAGCAACAACATCAGATATTGAACTTCTTGAACTTTGACTGTTTTGTTTTGTTCACCGACAGCCCCAAAAAACTAAAGGTTTATTCGAACATTGAATCGATAATAGTTAATACTCTAAACAAAGTCATTTTACCATTGACAACGATGGCTTGGCTAGGCCTAGCTTACCTAGGCCTAGCCTGGCGACGAATCAAGGCACTCGCGAGAGATTAGTACTGAGGCTAAACCAATCTTTGCCTTGGTGCCCTTTTATATTTGAAATTTTTGGCCTTGGTGCCTTTCCATTTGGCCTTGGTGCCTTTCAAAATCATGTCATACCAGAGGCCACTTTGCCTTGCCCATAAAATCCCCAAATTCCAGGCCTGCACATGCCACCATCATCGCGATTAAGCATTTACTTACCACCAGGTACCTGCTCCATTAATATTTTGAATACATTTTCGTGACTGACCGATCCAAGGTATTTGACAATGTTCTTGTGACTTAACCGTGAATGAAGAAGAATCTCTTCATGTAATGGTTGAACATCCCTATCGAAAATAACAAAAACAATAGTCTGTATTACAACTAGAAATAAAAATATAATATTCCAGTGTTATAAGTTCATCATGCACTTATTAAGCCCTGTTCAGTCTACCAAATTTTTATTTGGCAAAAAACATGTGACATACCTAAATATGGTCATGATGACATCACATAATGACCAAATATAGGCACATCATGACTATATATGGGCATAAAGTATTTTGTCAAAGGACCTGCTTCACAAAATACACTCCAGGGACAGAAGACTGCACATTGTATTCCTATTTGTTAATATGCATCTATTAAGCAGGGTTAAAAAAATTTACAAAAGCTTTGACACTGTTTTTCTAATCCCTATAAGTTTACACTTAGGTGAGTCTATCTCGCAAAAGACTAACAAGTCTTCTGCTGCAATGTTTCAGCTATATAAAAAAAATTTAATTTTTATTTTCTCAAGGGTGAGTGGGAGGATGGAGAGTGTATGTGGATAGAGATTTGATGATGAGATGACAGATACAATAACATAAATATAGACTATACCATTCATTTGTGATTGGCACTTCCTTGACAGCAATTCGCACCCTTGTGTCCATGTCTTTAGCAGCATACACAACGCCAAACGTCCCCTTCCCCAAAACAACCTTATCTCCATTCTTATCATATTCATACTCAAACTGTTTGAGAGATAGCAAAACTAATTTATAAGACACTATTATGCAATTCATAAGTCAATTAATGTAGAATGACTGGACATTTAATTTAGTTTTAACATTGGGTTCTTTTAGTATACTGTGCTATGCTTTGGAAGTGGAATTTTTCTGTAAAATGGAATGTGTTAAGGTTCATTTCAGTTTATTGTATTTGACAGGCATGAATGTAGTTTTATCAGGGAGTTGGTAATTGGTCCTACCTTTGTACAGGTGACCAATGTCTAACAGTACTTGTCTAATAATGGACTACGTTAAGAGTAATTTGGACCTAGTTTCTGCAGTATTCTCGTGCTCCTATCAGGAGCTTTTTTTTTAAACCTTGCCAACACTGAACTACATCAGTGCCTTAGTTCCATACAAGGAGGTAGTTTAAAACCATAGTATCCGTGATGTAACTACTTTCACACAGGAAAAATTTATTTTTATTTTTATCGGCCTGTGGACTACAAATCTAGAAGATATGCAGTCAAATGCTTCAAAAAATTTTTCAAGAGACAGTATCAGATATTACATGTTTATATCAATCCCCACTGCAGCAAACTAAGCCTCACATAAATTTACATGAAAAATGGATGGATGGATGGATGGAATTATTCGGTGTAAACACACCAAGTACAACCCACGACATTCTGATTTCAAGTGGGGTCCTTCTGGTGGTGATTGGGCAGTACACCGGGAGGCAATACCTTTTTCCAAATAGTGTACTGCGTTCTTTAACGTGCACATGGGCCATAATGCACATGGGACCAACGGTTTAAACGCCTCATCCAAAAGACAGTGCGCTATCGTAACTTGCATTTCAGCCTTCTAGCTGAAACACAAGGAGAGAAGGAATAGAGCCAAGGACTTAGAGATCTTCATGGCTGAGCGCATACACAGTTCCTACCACCAGTTTAGCTGACTGAGCTAAGCTACTCTTATATTCATATAAATATTAATGAGATACAATATTCTTGCCCTGTCCTAGACAAGTTAATAATAAAAACACAATAAATTTGACTTAAACAATGTTGTACAGGCTTTGCTGTCTACTAAGATTACAGTGAATTTTTAAAAAATCAAAAAGTATGAGTCTTACTGCAATTGGTTCAGAGTTGAGATCTGAGTCTCTCTCTGTCAGAAGATTGTTTTTGTCTTCAATATGTTCCTCAATCAATTTCATAATCTCGTCATGAAATCTGCAAATTCAACAAATTATTTATAATTATTTTAAATATAAGCATAATCATCATTCAACAATATTTTCTTAAGTATTAATATCATTGCAATTGTACTCATCACAGCTTCAGTTGCCGCTGTCATCATTATCATTATTATCATCACTATAATTGTCATTATCAAACTCTATTTTCATATCATGAATCATATCATCATCTTTATTGTAATCACAATCAATTCACCAACTCTTAAAGTCACATGTCATACCTTTGTCTTTGATTGGCTGATGAGAAAAACAACTGAAAGTCATCAGAGTTGTGTTGGACGTATATAAACAAGCACCTTTCATCTCTTTTATACAAACTGAAAGAAATAAAATAAAAATAAAATAAGAATGTCATAAATTATGTAAATAAACCCCTTAAATGAAAGCATACATCAACTTTACAGCAAAATTCAGTATCCACCGATTAATCTTAGATAAGATAGTATAATACATACTCCAAGTATCCAAATGCATGCCATCATTTTGGGATTCAATATTTTGACATTAATTATGTCATCATCAGGAATGATCATCATTCCTGATGATGACATAATTAATGTCGAAATATTGAATCCCGACACGATACCGTGAAATTCGATACTTGGAGTATGTATTATACTATCTTAATTAAGTGTAGGCTGGACAGATTCAGCATGCCTAAATACACACACATGCAGGAATTTGTGTATGATGCAACATACACATTTAAGATATGTTGTATATATAGTAAAATCTGAAAAGTTAAACTATGCATGTTATAAGAGGGGCATTTTATATGCAAGTAGAAGAACTTTAAATAATACAGTAGATTTTAACTTAGTATTTGTAAGAGAGCTATTCAGTGGTATCTTCAAAAGTATATTTAGTATGAGACCCTGTACAAGCAAATAATAAGGTTACCCAAAATGATCTCTGTCAATACAAGTAAAATAAATTAATGAAAATATGTATTCAAATTAAGTTTGACGCATAGCACCGTGTTCACAATATAAACAAATAGATAAATAATAATAACATATAAACGTATCAAGCATATATATACATAGCTTACCTGACACCTTTGATTGAACGTACCAAGAAACGCCATTCATTAATTTTCTAAAAAATACAATTAATTTTTTTAGTAATTTTGGTACAAAAAAATTAAGTCAAGTGAAATGAAAGATGCTTGTTAGATGAAAAAGCAAAGCAGCACACACAATAATAATAATTAATAATAATGATCAATTAAAAAATAATTAAGTCTTATTTGTAGTAATCTGTACACTACTTTTGGTCAGAAGGTAGTGCCTTTCCAATGGTGGTCATCTTGCTGAGTCAAATCACAACTCTGCAATGCTACGTTGTCTTGTTTAGTCTTAGTAGTTAGTTATTGAGACTACCTCTATGACTACACAATTTCATCTGAATAATGTCCTTTTAGTCTATATCCCTGCCCGTCTTTTCTGCACTTTCTTTTCTCTTATCATTATTCCAGTTTCTATTTTAGTCACCGACTCACATACTTCTTATATTCCGTGGACATGTCCCTAATATGTAGGATGATTACTTATGAATAACTTTAATACTCACCTTACAATTTTGCAGTTTAGCGACATGCCATAATCTGAGAGACTGAAAGATAAAGTAAACATTAAAAAGGATTATAAAATGTTTTATAACAAATCTATTTAAAAAGAAATATACTGCAACCATGAAATATCTTAATACTATCAAGTACATTTATAAACTGTGAACATTTATACACAAAATCCATAAAAGAAATAGTAACAATGCATGTGTCCTTGAGCAAATCACTTTAAAAATTAGATAGGCATTTGGCTTCTGAAGACTGTTGGTTCTCAACTGATTGAGTCATGTATTTATGCTGTAGATCAAGGGTTTTTAAAATACAAACATGATGATGATGATGATACCATTTTCATTTCATTTTATTTATTCACCAAAGCACACAAAATATAAAAAAGCAATATAATAGCAATTATGAAAGGTGAAAGGGACCTCCAAGGAACCCCAGAGTGGGAGGCCCACAGGAAAGACTAGTTACAATTAATCAATATATTTATACACATTTTTTTAAGCTTATAGGAATATATAAATACACAAAAAACACAAACACACACGTATAAAAATAAATATATACCTACAAAAAATAACAAAAAACAAAAACAAAAAACCCTAAAAATATCATCATCATTTGTAAAGTTATCTAATGTTTTGTTTACCTTTTCATCTTCTTCCTCATTGATAGTGATGAAGCTTGGTTTCATTACTTTGGAAGGTTCCAAAACTAACACAGGGAATATCACTCTGGAGTTACTGTCTTTGGTGGCTTCTATGAAGAACTCCAGCCAAAAGCTAAATAACTGCAATTAAATTACTTTACAGTTACTCAGGATGAACAGCGTATACATTGTACACAATGGCTACAACTATGGCCTTAGTGTTTCCAAAGACTAGTTTCTAACTTTGGCGAGAAGCCAAACCAATCACTCCCTTGCAAATCATGTTTCTGAGACAATGGCAAAAACATGCTGGAATGTCAATATTTTCAAAATCTATTTTAGTGCAGTAACCTAAGCTTTATACATAGATACATCATGTTATATTGTTATTTTCCCCATTTTTGATGTTAATATAAGATTTTTTAACAATTTGGTGATGGTCTCTGCTTGAGAATTCTCCAAAATTGTAAATTTTGAAGGTTGATTTCTCAAATATTGTTATTTAAAAGCTGTATATTTAAACTTTATTGTTTAACCCTACAATAATAACTAAAAATCAATTCTTGCAAGGCATGACTGGTTTGGCTTGTCTTTGCCACAAAACATCCTTCATTCTGTCGCCATTAATATTGCTCAAGTCAAACTGGCCTCAGATCAAAGATGCAGACAATTTTCTCTCCTAATCCTAATTTTGTTGAAATGATTGAATGATTGATTTAATGACTGGACTGAACGCACCTCATGTTCAGGTTTCCGGTTATCATCTGGAATTGGTCTAACTCTGGTGATCATCTGGATGTTACCAAGAGTTGACTTCAGGTACCTAAAAATATACCAAAAGAACATTTTTTCTGTTAATTTTCACTTCTTCTGGAACAACAATAGGCACAAGTAGATAGAAGACATATGATAAACAAAGACACAAAAATCTTTGTCATTTCTATGCAGTTCTATGCAAAACTTATCACCTATGTTGTTATTCTATCAATTTTCATTCAATTTTTACTTCTGGATTTCAGTATGCACATGTTAAACAAACCTATACCAAGTCTACTCAAATTGAGTATAAGAAGAAGGGATGGCCTTACCATGTAGGTGGTTTTAAGTTGAACATACACTCAGCAGCTTGTACAGCTTTTGAAAAGTCTCCCGCTAAGACACTGATCTCAAAGAAAGTTGCAACGTCCCAATAATCTTGTAGAGACATAAGACTGCCCTTCTTACCAAGTAACATGTTCAACGTAACCCCTGGAACGTGACAATAATATATAGTTACAGTTATGGAACAATGGTAAAAGTGCTTGTATTACAGTCCCAGTGTCCCAGGTTCAATCCCTGCATATGACAACATGTTTCTCGTGTCTATAAAACAATTAAATGGCCATAACGACACAAGTGTATAATTGGACCAATTTATTAGTTCTATAAAGTTTGCTGTTGGATATTCAAAACATGTGATTGGTTTGGAATAAAACACATGGCGTTGCCATGCCAAAATCAGCATTAGTGACCAAAACTAGACAATTGACTTTTTGACACATTCTCCACATTTAAATAACATTTAAAATGATGGGTCAATCACTGGAATTGACTTACTATTGCCAAAGGTATGGCTAAAAGCATTACAGGCTCCCCTGTACTAATCTACAGTATACAATACTACCACAATCTATGCTAATTCCGTTTAACATTTAGAGACAGTACTCTGGTTTTGGGATGGCAAACCTCATAATGTGTGACATGCTTGTTCTGAAGCATTTTCTAACATAAAAATTGTACGAATTCAGAAATTATGTGGGAACAACAGTGCCAAGACTTGGGTGTATCATGTTTCACCTTTTTGACCAAAGTTTTAAGTTTTTGGGACTACAAGTGCTCCCTCTCTGTATCTCATGGTAGGCACGGATGGGACTTACCAATTTTCTGCAACTCTGGTGATTTACTGAACTCTTCCCCAGATAGGACAAGCAGTGTTGCAAGGTTGATACCTGCGTATTCATTAGGATGCACTTCAAAACCCTTTCTGTACCTGTAGAAATAAAATTAATGAGCATTCATTTAAATTTTAATTAGCATAAAGGTAATTCTTTAGGTCTCATATTGTATTTTGTTATTTATTTATTTTATTCTTTCGGTTACTGTATTTATATAGCACCTTTCGTGCAAATACTAAACCCTTCTGTCCCCGGCCACTGGGTCCACATGCTCAAGTGTTGCTGCTGTAATCAGCGCAGGAGCAGGAAACCTCAACAGGTACCATTTAAATTCCAAGGTGGAGAGAAGCAATGCAGATAAAGTGCCTTGCTCAAGAACACAAGCAAAATGAACAGAGAGGGATTGAAACCCTGACCCCATATAAATTCTTGTAATAATGTACAAGTATATTGTCATGTCACCAACCTAATATCATAATTTAGAATGCTCTACTGAAAATTATAAAATATAGCAGTATTAACATGTCAGCACAATTATCTATAAATAACTCAATTTAATATTTTGTCTCAACAATAGTAGGGATTTGTCAGAAATGGTTGCAAATAAATCCATTGTTATTTTATTGCTGGGATGTCTGCCACCGAATAAAACCTTCAACAAATGTGGCAAAGACAAGCAAAACCAGTCACTCGTTGCAAATCCTGTTCCAGAGATATTGGCCAAAACATGCTGAAATGTCAAATTTTTGGAAATCTATTTTATTGCACTAAACTAAACTTTATATATCTATACATTAAGCTATGCTGCTATTTTAAAACAACAATTTTTAACGATTTGGTGATGGTTTCTGCCTGAGAAATGCCCGAAATCATAAACTTTGAAGGCCGATTTCTCAAATATTGTTCTTTAAACTGCTGTATGTTTAAACGCTTGTAACTTCTTAAGGAAATGTAGGATTTAAATGATTCTTTTACCAATTTAGAGCTCTCATTTTACTGTTGAACGCTGTATTGATAACTAAAAATTGATTTCTACAATCAGTGACTGCTTTGGCTTGACTTTGCCACAAATAAAGCATGAGATAATGATGACCTACCAGTGTATAGCCTTGTCCCTGCTCACTGTATCTTCATACATACTCTCTGTGTACAAATCCTTGTAAATTCTTCCAGCAAGACACAGCATATCTGGAACCTGGTTCTCCTTCTTTTCCAAAGCTTTGTTAATGATCTTCAAAGCTGTTGCACGATCTCCATTCTTGTTCCTCCTAAAATTGCACAAAATGAAATAACACTAATTAAAGTGAATCAACTTTCAAATTTCAAATAAAGCTTATCATGTGGACAATATGAATATTAAAAAGTCAATTTCCCTGTTCTGGTAACTGGTTGCAGTGCTATTGGTTTTGGCATGGCAAACCCCATTATAATATAAATACATTCCCCTTTTCAAGACTTAAATGTTACATATTCATACAGTGTATAAAAGAATAATAACTACAATAATATAATAAAAATATCCACAATATCTGTAATACAGCAATAATAACATATAATAATAAATAACTAAATATATATTAAAATTATACATATATTATTTTTTTTAAAAGACAAAAAACAAAGTGAGGAAAACTTTAAAGTTTTGCACAATCTAAAACTTGACAGGCAGTTCTATTATATTTGAGGTTCTGTTTAATTTACCTTGGTAATTGTAGTTTTTATCAATTATTAAATATCAACTGTTACTATCAATAATCAGTCAATAATCAATCAATCTCACCTGTTGAGGGCAAACACATGCAGGTGAATGATAGCAGGTTTGTCTGTGATGTTATTATTTGGAAGTTGTTCGATGGCTTTTACAAGTTTCACCATGGCATTGTAATCCTATTATGAAAACAAACAAGAAATGTATTTAAAATATAACCAGTCAAATCATATCTGTTACATAGATGAGTGAACCTTCTTCTTCCCATCACATTTGCAGTCTACTCCAGCATTACATTTTTACCAATTTGAATGACTTAGCTTAAGCTGACTCTAAAAATACTCAAAAAAAACCCCATTCAAATATTAGCACACCTTTTTAATTTATAACTTGCTTAATTACAGATTTTTGCTTTTAGCAAAATGTGCTCAATCGAGATTGTACAGTAGTATTTATTACATGCAATGCTAAAAAATTGCCTTTTGATTGAAAAGGGGATTTTCTGGGTATAAGGCCACCCCCAAAATCAGCCCAATTTTGTGTTTGGAGGGGGAGGTGGGTTTATACCAGAGGAACTATGGTAGTAAAATAGTCATATTTACTAAAGGAAAACAATTTATTTGCTTTTTACTGTTTATATTCATTAATGGGTAATTTTCAAAATCAATAAGTTTGATAAAAATAACCCAACAACATACATCATCATCAATGATAATATACTTTCAGTAGGCCAGCAAAAATTGAAATTCTTTCAATATCTACAGGATATTCTAGAAATTGTTTGGTACGTGCAAGTGTCAATTGAGTTCGTAACATCAAAGGAAGGTCTGTATTTTGAATTTGAAAGATGTTTACATTTTAGTTCCGGTCAGAGGGATTTATTCCAGTAAATAATGCCAGTATACAAGGCTTTGTGAGAACAATGAGGCTGAAGGTAACTTGAATATTCCAAAATCCAAAAGATGTATTCAAGTAGAACATATCATTTAGACGCCCTGCACTATTTACTTCCATTGTATGAACCGTATATAAATAATATATTTTGACACGCATTGAAAGTACAGTTTTTAAGTGATCGAATATATTGTATAGATTTATCTCATCTGAAGTATATTTCCATATGCTATTTTCATTTGTTGTTTCAGCTAGTTAAGAGCTATTGAGGTTAATTTACTTTTAGCTTCATAGTGTTTTTTCACAACCAACTGTGAACAGCTTCATGGTTGAATGAACTTACTGAATCATGTTCATTTTTACTACCTGTATTACTATTATTATTACTACTAATACAGTATTTATAACATTAGATCAAACATACATTAATAATATTGCGCTAGCATACAATGCTAACGCTTTCCGTTCTCACAATATTTGCAGGCCTATCCTAGTTAAAATAATAGTAACAGTAACTACTATTTACTTGTCTTAGTGCAAATATTAATTGCTTTTATATTCAAATATTATAAATGTTATTATGCAGAACTGACTCGTGTCTACATTTACATCTTAATAGATGATAAAAAATATAGCAAAAATAGAAAAAATAAATGTAGTCCTGATAAAATATCATTAGTATATTAACGATGAGATCAATCATAGTATGCAAAAATTAATATTAAGCTCTTTCCAGATTATAAAATTTTCTTTGAGAAAATACTGTATATGCATATAATGTGCCTATATCATGGCTTAGCCAGCGAGGCGTCCAGCCTTTTTTTTGGATGGCCTACAAAAATTTAGGACGTCACTTTTACCGTGACGACTTGAACGCCATCACCTAATCAGCTCGGCCTAGCCTAATTGGGCCTGGTCTACCTTTAGCAAATTCTTTATATTCTTTAAATCTATCAAATGTTACATTAAACTAAAGCTAAATCAAATCTGCTCAGTGCCACACCCACTGGCTTCCATTTTGAACGGCCTATTTCATTTTTCTGGCTAAACCCCTGGTCTATAGTTATGTGATGTTATCATGACCATATTTAGGCATGTCGAATGTTTTTGTCAAATAAAATTTGATAGTCAGGACTGAGATTCAGAAAGAAACATGAAATAAATAGTGAAATTCAAAAGCACTGAAATGATCACACAAAACACAAATATTTAAAATAGTTGTATTTTTGTTTCCCTAAATATTCACTTTTCAAATTTGGTACATTGAGGAGAAAAATAAAACTTTACACCAGTTGCCAATAACAAACTCAATAAAAACAATAGATTTTTTGTTAAATATTAAAATAAAAATCACTGTAAATGTGGAGAAATCACTATTCTAATGCTTTGTCTAGACTATCAAATTTTAATCCAAAAAAAAAAGTATTGTATGTACATATATAGTCATGATGTGCCTATATATGGTCAAGATATGATGTCATCATGACCATATTTAGGTCTGTCAAATAAAATTTAAGTCTGAACAGGACTTTAGAATAAAACATGAATATAAATATTGAAATCCAAAAGCACTAAATACAATTAAAATGGACCTTTTGTTTCACTGTATATTTTCCCTAAATATTCACTTTTGAAATTTGATATATTTAAGAGACAAATAAAAATTTGACACCAGTTGTCAGCAATAAATTCTTAAGTACAACAAATTTCTTTTTAAATATCTTTACTTATTTTTTTTATTATCAAAGTTGGCAACTTACATACAAATGTAATATTATTAATCGCTAGGCCTACAGTATTTGGTTCACTTATTCAAAGCAACTCAATATAATGCATCACTGTACTGCATTTGTCTAAACAAATATTTTTTAAGCCATGGGAATTCATTCTACAGTTAAATTCAATGGGCAGCATTTTATAGTTGAGAAATGTCATATTAAAACCATTAAAGATGGGAAGTGTGATTGTGTCAAAGACGGCCTTTTACACAGATGGAACTATAAAGGATGTCTGTTAAAAAAAAAAAAAATCTCTTAAAAAAATTAAGAGAAAAATTTAATGTGGAGAAATCATTATTCTAATGCCCTGTCAAGACTATCGAATTTTAATTGACAAAAAAACTGTTGTATGCCTATATATAGACATGATGTGCCCATATATAATCATGATGTGCCCATATATAGACATGATGTGCCCATATATAATCATGATGTGCCCATATATAGTCATGATATGCCCATATATAGTCATGATGTGCTTATGTATGGTAATGATGTGAATGTCATTATGACCATATTTAGGCATGTCATCATCTTACCTGTATTTCTCGGTAGGACAGCAGGAGCTGGTGGACTATATCACCTGTGAGGAGCAACTGATCATCCATTCTCTTCTTCAACACTGACAGTTCCTGATGATAAAAATAGCAATCAAAATCAAACAAGATAAAAGTTATATATATATATATATATATATATAGGTTGAAAATTGGTGTTTAAATATTTTTAATATGGTTTATTTTAAATTTAAGTCAATTATTACATTGATATTAGTAAATATGAGACAAAAATTGTTTAAAGTAAATTTAATTCATCATCAATAATCACTTTATTCAAATAGAGAGTAGGCTTACATAAATCTAGGCCAATGTTCATTAAAACAATTGCATCTAATACTACTAATCTTAATAAAAACTTGATATAGATGTGTATAAGAGACAGTATATATATATAGTGATACTGACAATGCTTGATATTGATAATGCTACTGTATTAATTTACTTGATACGGAAATCATTATGAGGATCTTGTTTATAATAAGCACATCATGCCAACAAGCGCTTCGCATTATTAACGAAGATTACTGGATCAAACACATTCTCAGCTTCCTGGGGGAAATCCCAGGACAGCATGGATACAGTATTTATAATTAACAATAGAGAATTAAGAATAAAGTAATGTAAATGATTTAGCAGAACTCATACAGTAAATATTCATGCCTAATATTGTTATTAAGAAAGCCTAATTATAAGGTTTATAGAGAAGGATGTTTTTTTAATTCAATTACTTCAAAATCAATCAATTACCGTTATGAATAGCATATTGTGCATATTTATGATTAATATTGTTAATGATTAATATTGTTAATTATGAATGCTTAATTATATGGCTTCAGAGAAAAGAGGTTTTTTTTCTAAAAAATCAATAAACAATTAAATGAATCAATTATTTAATCAGTCAAGCAATTAATTAATTAATTACAGTGATGAATAGCATATATGAAGTTTAAAATTCTAACCTTTCCAAGTTGCTCTCCTTGATATTTCTTCCTTGCATCTCTAATTTCTTTTAATAACATCTCTTTTGCACCTTTCCTGTTAGATACACCAGAAATTATCTTTAGCAAAGCATGAATGACACATATGTTACAACATATCTAATTTAAGTAAATAATAATAATAATTAATTACTATTAATTAATAAATCAATTTATTCACCTAAGGTATTATCAGAATTTATTGAGTTGTTAAATTGTAGTTACTTCTCTGAGGCCTACAACAAAAGAATAATTGTGCTAAGATTTTGTGCAAGAGTAGAATCCAGGGATATTTTCTTCAGGACAGGGACCAGTGGAATCTAGGATTCCACAGAAAAAGGAGGTTGCTGAATAGAAATATTACATCTACTGAACTTTATGGAAGGCTATGATGACAACACCATCAATTGTTACAGTAATATTACATCTACTGAACTTTATGCAAAACACAACACTGGGGAGGGGGGGAAACCATATTGATGGCTATGAATACACCATAAATTGTTACAGTAAACATCTAAATTAATTAATTTCTTTGCAATTACTTCCATTAATTTACTATTATGAACAAAAAAGGGGGGAGGGATGCTCAGGCACTATGAGCACCCTCTGGTTAAACCACTGGGGACACTGTTAGCAAGTACAGTAACTACTGTACCAAAAATTAAATCATAGAAGCATCAATACAACAAGGGTGCACCGCATTTCCCATTGCTTTCACCCTTTGTTCAAGAATCTGTTTCCTTTAACAATTGAAATTATAACAATCAGAAGTGTGCTTCCCAGAATTGAAGACCTTAAATTGAAACACCAAACTATTTTATTATGTATTTTATAATATTTTATTTTATCTTACTCGCTCAGAAGCTTTTATTGAGATGAGGAAGTGTACAGTGTATATACAGGTTATTGACCTAGGACAGTACTTGAGTTCAAATCCCAAAGGCACAATATGTTTTCCTTGAAAATGAATTATCTTTAGTTATCATCCATCTTTCTCCATGCCAAAATTTACTATCATGTGATTTAAGGATCTGTAGGATGCAATACTTTGTGAAAAACAAAAATTTCAAGGTGTAGAGTTTGGGTTAATACATTATTAGGCTCAATAAAAAAAAAGTATTAGTTTATGATGCTTACCTTCTATGATAGTGAAATTTAAAGCAAATAGTAGATATTATTTGTATTATCTTAATCAAATATTTTACATTGAATATCAATGCACCAGCAAACAACCCAAGGGTGATGATATTTGGAAATAGCAAAATAAAAGATAAAAATAAAAAGCCTCCCATCACTTTTTCAGCCTACTAGACAGATAAACTTTTTTTATTGGGCCTTATAGCCGCGAGTCAGTAGAGTATTCAATCAGTAATAAATGAGAGAGTCTTACTTAAAAATCCCAATTGGGACAATGCATTTTTTTTGTTATCATCTTTAAGTATCACCAGTGAAGATGTTTATTATACCGATAATACTACCATTTATTATCTGTCCATTAAATTTGTCTCAAAACACTATCAGTAGTCACACTAGTTTTTACAGTAGAAGCAATCACAATCTGTCAGACTTGTACCTGATATACTGTAGCTAACAACCAATCATTACACTTACAGTAGTTATAATTAGTTCCGAAGCAGTCTTTGTGACTATACAGTACAGGGGTGTATTAAGGGTGTTAGGAGGGGGCTTGCTCAGAAAAGCTCTCATCTGACCTCCCCAGTTTTCCCCCACCCCCTGGAAAAGTAGTAAAAATTTACCTCGTATCACCTTATTTTACTAGCTAGCTTCCCTCATAATCATTGGGCCCTCCCCACCTTCACCCTGGCGCCTCACATCAAGACCCCTAAACATGCCACTGCCACTTAAGCATTTTTTAAAAAAATGGAAACATCCTGAAAGCTATATACTTGTGATTGCTCACGATACACAGTGCTAGCGTCATTTAGGCACATTTGCTAACATTTAGAAAAGTACTGACACTTACATGCCACATTAAAAAAAATAAACACATCTGCAATTATTCATTTCACTTTTATTATCAAAAAAACACTTTGTAGCCCGAAAGCCAAATTGTATGCGAGTCTAACAGTTTTCGTTATAACAATTTATTTAAAATAATTTAAGCTAGAGTAGAGGGCATATTACTGTACGCATCATAAAAAATATTTATTTGGTGAGGAAGATAGCAATCATAAGCTATCAACATAAATCAAGATCCATTAAGAAATCTGATGGTATTGGACTCAATCAATTAGTTTTTATGGTAATTTGAGTAATTTTATTAGCGTTTCGAAGATTTCTATTGTGTGCTTGATAACTAGTCGTTGGAATAAGATCAAAATAGTGCGATGTTGAGGGCAAACCCTTGGCAAGTTATCATAATTTCGACAATGGTTTGTCCTTGATATCGCACTCTTTTGATATTATTAATGAATTAGTAATCTATTATTAAAATGTAATTAATTCACCTCATCAATCTTTCAAGGCTTAATCATACTCTGTAAGTAATTTATAAAAGAGTAACACTATTCAAACAAATTAATTCTTCATGCTCTTCTTACCTGTTGGTCACTTGCATTTCCTCATAAACAGACTTGATCCGACTGTACAGCGGTGGACAGAGCTTGGATATTGTATCAATTGAGCGCTTAGAGCCTTTTCCTGGCTTGAAAACGCACGCCATGTCACAGATGTAACACTGCCCTTCGGAGTCCAACTTGTATGGAAAGAAGTGGTAACCAGAAGTTAAACATGTGTTCTGTTGGGGGAAGAATAAATTGCCCATGTTTTAATAATAATAATGTACAATTGTATAGTACCGGCATATATTTTTATGTAAACTTGTTTTGGCACACAGGAAGGAAACTTAAAAAAAAAGGTCTGGCAGCCAACGCGTTAAGATAAGATAAATAATTGGTACACTTCTTTAAACCAGAGGAACAATCCCACAAGGAAATGTTCGACCCATACAAAACTAAAGCAAACACATAATAAAAATTACAATTACTGTATAAAAATACAAAACAAATTATCAACTGAAAAAGTCCTTACATCAAATTAAAAACAGAAGCTGTAGAGAGGATGTTAAAGATGAGTGTCCAAAATGAAATGTTTTCAATTTAGAATGCAAGCAATTAAGCATTTTGAGAGCAGAGTTTAATCACGATGTTTGCTCTAAGATGCCTTGTCTGTTGTTATGTTTGAGATAAACATTCATTAAAACATATTATATTATACTATACAATGCTAAAAGATCTTCTATTCAATAAAAACTACATTGTAGATTATATAAAATCAATTATGTCACATTAATGCTGTTTAATTTATATATTTTGAATATAATTTTAATTTAGTTAGGGATGTACTTAAAATATTTATTTCTTTTAATTGTATTCTGTAATCTGTCTTAAATTTACTATTATAATAATTTACTAGACATCATACAGCAGTAGGAACACCACTAAACAGCTTTTTTTCTGTGTGTCCTTTTCATCAATTTCTACTTCAATTTGTTCTGTTGACTGCTGTAATCTTATTTAATTGTATTTTGATGAATAAAAGAATCTGAATTGAATGTCCACGGAAGTAAAATATGGAAAACAATAAAAACATTCAATTAAAATAATTAATTGCTAATTTAACAGGGATCAAGTCAGCTATCAACTTAAGACAGATACAATACGGTTTGTGATGATTCAATTACTACAGAAATCCTGTAACTGGATACCAGCCAATTTAACACTGTATGCAAAGAAAGTGATATATTGCCCATCATCCACCCCCAAATTTAATATATTAATTCACTTGAAAATATATTAAAAAATGAAATTCTTTAACATGGTGCCCTTTTACAAAGATTTATTTCAATTTTTCAGGTTTTTCTAAATTTTTGTTTTGGTGACAATATCTTAAAATATGGTTTCAACAAAGGATTATGGAGGAAATCAGTGTCATAATCATACACTCATGTATATATTAGCACAACACAGTGCAGCTGGCCTACATAAAGTATATTTACATCAAATTCACCTGCTATTGACTGCCAATATACAGACTTCACATGCAAACATATGTTCGCTATATACTCTTGTGAAAAAATAGCTTGGTTCAGTCCACTGCCAGTCCACTCAAAGGAGGTTGAAGGGTTAATTGAAACAAAAATTATGTTGGTCAAAATTTATTCTATTCATTCAAGTGACATATTGACTTATCTAAGAGCAGCCAGTAGAGCATTGGTGTAGTACAGTAATTATTTAAACATAAAGGTCAATAGTCATCTATGGTAACTACAGATGAGACTTTTGGCATGTTTTGTGTCTGTTCAGATTTGTAGTAGAAAACTAAGGGTAAGTGATAGACATTTTAAGGGTGGGTGGGTGATAACATTGCTAAACTCTACGTAATAAGAGTGGATTTTAAGGATGGAAAAGTGGGTTAAAAAGGATGAATGGAGGGCCATGAAATTAGTTTTAGACTAGGTGGAAAACTTCAAGGCTGGGTGACCCCACCCACCATAACTACACATAATTTTTTGGTTTTCTGCATGGTAGGCATCTTAGTATGTAAACTGAAGATGTTGCACTTTGAATGTTTTATACCAAATAAATTTTTAAAAAGTAGTACTTTACAGTAATGTATAGCAATTATTCTAACAAAAAACATCTTCGAAAAAGTTGTTTCACAGCTATTTTATTATCCAGTTTTACCAAAATCAAACACTACAGTATACTGTACTTTTAACAACTACTACTAGTGTCACGCCCTTTCCTATAGTATAAAGTTGTTGAATACAAAAAGGAAATTTATGCTTGAATTATGTTCAAAACATTTGATTGTACAGTACTGTAGGCGCTATTGTAAAATATATGCTCACAATTCTGTACATAAATCTGAACAATGCATTCTAACTATGTTTCCATAAAACAGCACAAGCAACTGTACCTAGGTGGAAATGGGCAGTCTAAAGCTAATTTCACGACTCTTGAGTCTTATTATATATAGTTTACCAATCTAGCCACCCACCCTTAAAATGTCACCCACCCTTAGTTTTCTACTGTACAGCTACAACCCTGAATGGGTTACCAGTAATATAGCATTACAATGATGTTAAAAGGTGATGCCTTGATTTAAAAGTTCCGGCATATTTATTAAAGAAAACATGATAGTATAAATGCAAATTTACTGAAAAGAAAAAAAAGTATGGAAGAAAAAATTTTACAATGAAAATAATAAACAAATTAAAAGTTTGTATAGGTGTGCATCTATTACTATACATTGGCAAGGAAAATATTTTCTCCTTTAAATTTTTTACTTAGCTGACTACACTACCTTAACTGGCAAATCATTTTTAGACTCGTTGTCAAGTATCTAAAAAGTCCATTGAATATGGCACTATGTAGAGGGTGTTACACTGTAAAACAACATTCTAATTCTACAGTTTTCTATAGCCACTGATTCTACAATTTTAAATGTGCAGTGTAATTATTTTATGATTTCATATGAACATAACAAATAAAAATATTATATGACGAAGGTAAAAACAATTCTAATGTTTGCTGCATGACAATATAGTAATTTATCATTACAAGAACAACCACAATGTTTCCCATTGTCCATTTCCAGTCAATTAAACAAACCCAAACATAAACATATACTAGAGCCAACTTTAAGAAACCCATAAATTATGATTGAATGTTAAATTGGAAGATGCTAAAAAATTTCCTAACATTCATAACATAAATCTTCAGAATCTACAATACCCCCAATGCCATTTTATATTGCAACAGTTCAGAAATTACATTTGTTGACACTAAATTATTCCCTACTCTTCAACTCACATACTTTAAGGTCAAATGGTATTTTAATGCAGGCCTATAAATTGACTGTTCTGTATATTAAAATAATTCAAGCAGATATAATGCATCAATTCAACAAATGATCAAACGCACATTTTACCATTGGGCTTGTTAATACATTTTTTAATTCAATTTATATCTAATGTCGCAGAAAGTTTAACAAAGACAGGCAGTTCATTCTGCAAGGTAGAAGCAGAAATAAATATCATGTGTCTTTGTTCACAATATGGAAAGGCAAGCTGTGGCTTATTCGCAGATAAGTTCAACAAAATATGAGAGCACAAGAAATGTTAAATTAAAATTATAAAATAATAGAAAATATGATACGTCTGTTTTAGCTAAGGATGTGTAATACAGTGCAGATACAGTTTGTGTCCTGGGGTTAGACCACACACATGATAAAAGCTGCTTATTTTGGGGTTTTTTTTAGTCTCAATAAAAGAGGGCTAAGGTGATATTTTTTTATTCCTTGTTTCATGGAATAAAAATAAAAATGAAATTTTGTTCTCTTATTTAGCAAATAGTTTTGCCAAAAACATCCAGGAGAAAATATAAATAAAATTTTATTGGTGAATGTAAAATGGGATGGTTAATCGCGTCAAATTTATAATTAGGAAGAATTATACATCTTATCTTTAGAGATTTCAAGGCAATAGTTGCTGTGAAAAAAAAATAAAGAAAACGGCGGGTACGCTAATTGGCCAAAAATAAAATTTTAATTTAGTTCGAAATCCTCAATAATTGTGTCGGTGGGCTAAAAAAGGTATAAAAAAAAACTCACCTAATCAATATGAATGGAACAATCAAGTTTTGTATGGTAGAAATAATAAAGGCATTATCAAGGATTTCCAGGAATTTAGGATTAGGTGTATTTTCAAAATTTTTGATTGTTTCAAACACAATAATTGGTGGACTTGAAATACTGGTCAAAGGTTACTACTGTAATCTAATGTACTGTAACATACTAAATGAAGCTAATTTAATTTCTGCAGAGTTCAATTGATTGGATTTTACAGCAGATATTGGAGAAAAAAAATTGGGAATAAGGTAAAATGAATGCAGGGGATTGTGTTTCAAAAAATTGTGATGTCAGATTTCCATCAATATGAAGTGGGACTACAAACTTTTGATTTCTGTGAATCATTTCTGACACTGGTTTTTAAAGGCTGGCACAGTATGAATTAAGACGGATTGTTGTCTTATTTTATGAGTACAGTATATATGCAGAGAGACTGTGCTAATGACTTGAAGATGTTAAAATGATTACGACTATTATAGTATTATAGCAGACATCACCATTTAGCAGACCATTAGCAGGGCATAATGGACAGTAATAAAAACAAATTGTGTTCCAAGCACAGCAATGTTTAGACTTCGGGGTTGGCCTAGGATTAAATCCCTCTCATCTCTCACTCCAGGCATGTTGGTAAATTGGTAACCACATGATAAGGTATCAATATAAAGCTAGATATGTGGTTTTATTTTTTTCAAAACATCCCATTTTCTTCAATAGTATCTCCTTGGAAAAAAATAATAATTTTTTTTGTCCAAAAATGCTGAATCTAAATTTTGTGTCTGTCGGCTTTGGGCAACATAAATATTTGTTTCCATATACACAAACTGCGAATTACCTATATAGTGGGCACATGCACACACTTTTAGAATAAAGTTTTCATTTTGAAATGAGGCAGATTGAGAACATATCATTTCACTTAAAAACAATCCTTTAATTCCAACAAATTTATGTGTCTCTGCTTTGCAAACAATGTACCTGTAGTAAGAATGATAAATTAGGCACTGCAAAAAAAATGTCAATTGAAAAATAGAATTAGTATACAAAAAAAGTAAAACATTTCAAGTTATCCCAGGTTGAAAACAATAAAAAAAAACTATTATTGGTTACTGTAAATGTATGAGATTATGAGGAGATCATTATGTGGCAATTTTTCAAGCTGAAAATACTTTTCAGATTTAAGACACTTACAGTAATAGCAAAATTCCTCTCAGCATCTGTATAAAGATCATAGCACTATAAAACTCACATGGATGAAACATGTTTGAATTTAAACTTACAGTTAATGAAGTTACAGTTTCCGGATCAGAATCATCTTTGTCATGGTACAGCACAATATTCTCCTTCTTCCCGAAACTTTCTCGCACTCCAAGATGATAAAATAATGTAGCTTGCTCCGTGTTTACAGACATGTCAACAATTACCAGATCCGCATCGTAGAAGATGTCCAGGACCGTGGTCTGTCCAAAATCAAGGTGTTGGAAAGCCACGCATTGTATGTCCGCATTAAGGCAAGATAATTTAACATGTTCATAAGCTTTATGGCATGCTTCGGTGTTGTTGCTGAATATACAGGCAACCCTCATCATGATTCTTTTTGTCAACTGTGTGTAGTGGTACGTGTGCGACAACTAGAATAAAATTTAAAAAAAAAAACAAATTTTAAAAATTTGATTAGGCAGTGGATTGAGTCCTAACTTATCCATTAATATTAAATACAAAATAACATCCCATCAGAATTTAGGAATTTATTTAATTAAGACTGATTGTAACAATAGCCACTATGCTAAGCCTCATATCATAAATACAATCAAGTTTCACCGGCGTGGAGGAAGAAGTCCTTTAAGTCGAGTTTCCAGAGAATCGCTACAGTCACGACAACGTTTTCACTGCAATCCTTACACTGCGCCAGATTGTTATAGTAAGACCTGCTCGTGGAAATTTTGGCCTAGAAATCCATCTGTGCATTTGGAAAATAAGGGCTGATATCTGCACAGATTTTGCAGAAAATTAGGCTTTGACTCTTTAATATATAACCAATGCGGCAATTATGATTCCGTGTACCTATTTTCTTTGCGATTTTCCACGCAAATTTAAGATGATTTTTGAGATATCCTCCGCACAATTAAAAAAACTTTACAGTTGGGCATTGCAGTTTGGCATTGCGTAGCCTAGGAGGCCTAGCTGTCCCAGACACAATCGGGAAACTCTCTCCTCTGCTTCAACTGACCAATTTAATTAGCGTCGCCAAAGGAGTCGGCGATAGCGTGTAGAGATTCTTATGGAAACCAGACTTAGAAAACAAAATCGCAATGTCAAACCGATTACCCTATAGGAAAAGTCTAGGCTTTCCCAGGGATTGGTCAATCGAAAGCCGCCTGATTGGGTGACAGTCTCTTTAATGCCGCATAGGCTAGAGCCTATACCCACTTCCCAACTCTCCGCTTTTCGCTCGGCTAGGCCTAGGCCTAGCTGGGTACAGCAACAAACGTCATGCTTATGATTCTTATGTGAAAACACAGCTGTAATCAGAAAGATACAGATATATAAATACCTTTAGTTTAGATTATCCTCAACCATATCTCATTTTATATACGAATACATCATTTAGCCTACACATGAAATTCTTCAACATAGTCATAATTTTCACAGCAGCCAAGTTAAACATCATGCAAATGCAAAATGTTACAAAACACTTGCTTCGTGAACCACGATATTTACATTCGCGTCAACTCAGTGTGAAAACGCGACAACAACGTGCAACATGATCGTACCCCAGTATTTAATCAGACGTTGGACGTTACTATTACATAAATACATTATAAAAAAGAATATTTTTTCCGACGAGTCGTGGCTGACGACGGGGTTGGTGGGTTAGGATGGGGCTTGGTTTTCGATATCCCATCCCCACTGGTGCCTCCACTGCATGCCAGGGACGGATTTAGAGGGGGCGGGCAGGCCCCGGCCTCGCCCTACCTCTTGGAAGTAAAAAAAAAAATAAATAAATAAAAATAAATAAATAAAATAAAAAAGAAAAAGAAAGAAAAAGAAAACAATGATCGCCCAAAAGGCATCAGAGGTTATTTTTCAGAGAATTTTTTTTTAGAGAAATTTCGCTGGGGCATTCCCCCGGACCCCCTAGAATGGGCCTATTCGATCGGCCCCCACTTTTGGTCCCCTTCTGGCTCCCTTGTGGACATCTCTGGATCCGCCCCTGTATGCACTTATCATTAGCAGTGGCGTAACTAGGGGAGGGCGCGGGGGGCGCACGCACCCCAAAAAAATCCTCGCGCTCCCCAGTCTTCTCCCCCACCCCAAAAAATCACGATTAAGTAGTTAAAGATCACCTAAAATAACCATATTTTGCGAATTAGCGCCCCTCTCAACTGATCACCTTCTCCCCCCCCCCCTCCATCACCCCTACCCTAATTCAAGACTTCTAGATACGCCACTGATCATTAGTTCCTACGAGGAGAACTCCACCTTAATTTTGAACGAAGGTTACTTCTGTGGTTTCTATGTGGTTTCTAATGTGGTTTCTGTGGTTTCTAATGTTTACGCTGATGCATAGGCCTAGGCCTAATGGTCATGGGAACTAGGGAAAACAATCTTTACCCGGTCTTCAGGTGTGGAACTTCAGACGTAATTTTTCTACATATTATTCTGTGTAACGAAAAAAAAAATAGTGTTTCATTATTCACAGACGAATACAGGTGCGGACTCAGTGGGGGAGGGGACGACCCCCCCCCCCCCACACGTCACCTCCCGTTTTGCCACTGTTTTAAAACTTCAATGCATATCAATATTATGTATTGAAATAAGTGCTACTCAATTTCTATTCTGAAAATCACCCCACCCCGTATGAACAATTCTGAATCCGCCCCTGGAATAAGGGTTGTACATTGTACTTCTGAATCAAAATAATGAAAGGGATGGGTGTGGGTCCGGTAAAATATACTGTTGGCATGAGATACAAAAAAAAGCTGTATAAGAAAAAATATCAAATCAACTTTAGAATTGCTTGCATAAGACCCACCCTTAAACTGATTGGTTTCCGGGAAGTAAAGTGGCGTGGCTGTAAAGATTGGTATACTTTTGTTTTGTTTTATGGTTGGAAGCTGATAAATTATTATGACATACTATCTGCCAAAAAATCGGGGTGAAATTATAAAAAATAATCTAAAATCTTGAATAACTCATTAAAAAAAATAATATCAAAATATCAAATCCGGGCTTGATTTGAACGTAGCTTATGGCAGGCAACTATTAAAAGTTCTCAGATAACGGACGAAAGCTTGAAAATGTCACTCACTGCTGCTCAACGCAATACATACCCGAACAACCTTGGTGAGACGTCATTAGAAAATAAGGATTTGAGTTTCCAGACAACATGGAATCATCATGTTCGTACGATTGGAGGAAATTTAAATTTTAATTTGCAATGGTTTACGTGCATTTATTGGTCATACAAAGGTATGAATGATTACATGTATTTGATTAAATGTCCATTAATGGCGATTAAAGTGTTTTCTCGTTTTCATTTTCAGTGAAAGCTAATAAGATTCAGATACAGAACAGAATAAACTTTGGCCCTACTGAATGAAACGTACGAAGTGAGGAATGTCAATGACTTTAATTCGGAAATCTAACCCGGCCTGTCCATGTCAATGGGGCCTCGATGTAAGTGTGTGTATGACCTCCGTCAATACCTGTACTGTATAAGAAATGATTATGTTCACAGTAGGCCTATTTTGTAGGCCGGTTGCAAGGGTTATTGGTCTCCCTCCTTTGAAATCCATGGAACATCCGGTACGGCCGGTGGAGTGCGTCCAACAAAATAAAATGGAAACTATTAAAATTGTTAATAACAAATTAAAATCACATTTAATTTGATAAGTTATTCCAGTAAATTTAGGATCTACCGTATTAATATTATATTGTTCGCAAGGAAATGTTATTTTGAATCGATATATATATATATGTGTGTGTGTGTGTATATATATATAATTATATATATAAAACACAAACTCTCATTTACCTTTTGTTTGTACAATATAAATTTTTTTTTAAATATATAATCATATAATACTCTTTTCGTTATAAAACGTCGTGGTACTTTATGAAAATATACATTCTAAACGATAAAGAAGAAGAGGAAGACTCATTTACATACTATTGTACAGGAAAATAAAATAAAATAAAATCCCAGACCCAAATATGTCTTCAATAAAAAATCAAGGTGAAGTGAACATTTCTGTAGGCCTAATAGTTTGTCAACGTCTAGCTAAAAAGGTTTTGGTTTTTAATTTTTTTATGTAAATTGAAAAACTCAAGTAGAGGAAAAAGGCAAGACCCGAGAAGATAAGAAAAAGAATCGTGTGATCAGCCTGAAAAGAGAGAAAAGAACTAATGAAAAAAGGACAAAAACAACACACATGATAAAGCGAGGCAAAAACAAAAACAAATTGATTGCAAACCGATAAAACCGAGGCACAGCAGCAAAAAATAAAATAAATAAATAAATAAAAGAAAAAAATAAATAAACTGAAAGAGACATTAGCTAAATGGGAGGGTAATGAATTCTAAATTTAGGGCCCGATCTAATGTTATGCTGGAAATAATTAGTTCGATGAAATTCTAAATTCCAGCCAAAATAAGGGTTTATGTATAACAGTGTCATCTGGTATCGGTTAGAAGGCTCGGTTAGAAGGAGTTTTTTTAATTTGAATGCTAAAAAACGATTAGGTTTATCGTTTGATTATTGGCTTTCAATATTTCAAATATATTTTGGACTGGAATACATTATGTAGAGAGCTATAAAATTAATTTTTATTCGAATTAATAAATGAAATGAATGTTATGTGATGAATAGTTTTGAGCTTATATTAGGAAAACGAAATGTACCGTACTGTATACGAAGATCATAAAAAAACCGTAACCTAAATGTATAAGAAGAAGTTATGAACCAGCCGATACTCCATGTGTGTCGAGTGCACTGGAGCATGTCATTGAATCGCCCCCTAAATTACTTAGAGATCGGTGTAAGGTCCGGTTGTTTTAACTCAACTGTAAAGTAAGTTCTTAATGTCGTTATGATTTACAAGCAACATGATAAAAATCTTAAGAATTATTTTTCAATGTTCATACATTAAAATAGTTAGGATGTTGTACAGAAATCCTGTTAACTGCTGGCATCTGTTTGCCTAGCTAGGCCTAGGCCGATTTGAAGTTGCATCATCCATTTGTTGATGAATTGTAGGCCTCACACAGGGCAGTGAAAGAGGTGGCGCTTGGTTCCATGTGCATTGGGCGGATAGGCCTAGGCCTACGGACACTGAGCTTTTTCGTATGCAAAACCAACGGTGCTTATGCATTTTTCCTTGTTAATTTTAATAGCACTACAAACGACGCTCTTTGTATTTCATTTTTTGCTATTAGTAAGTTACATTTAAAAACACATTTTTTAAACAAGACTTATTCACAATCACATTGTTTTGCTTACACTTTTATTTAATTTTAGGTAAGATGGCTAATCCTGAAACCAAAAGGAAGTTGGATCTCATCCAAAGAAATTTACAGGTACATAGTGGTCATCCTGACAAAATATTATTTTATAAAATGAAAATAAATAAATAAATAAATAAATAAAAAACAAGTTAGCATCATCATAATTTATTGAAAAAAACATACAACTTTATTTATTAATATTAATTCTCATCCCACTCAGCAAGGTATTTGTGACACAGTGATACTCTAGTTTATAAACTAAATATCATTACAAAGTTTAGGAAATTGATTTGTTTAATCATGAAAAAATGGTTCCTTTAACAAGATTGTATACCCAGGACCCTGTGAGTGGAAGGCAATTCATCTTGACCATTGTGCATTACATCGGCACCCCACACCATTGCATCAGCAATTATTCCATTCTTAAGCAAACTCCCAAAGCAGTGTGTGTAATTGCGGGGATTTGGATTTTCACACACAAGAAAAATATGCATAGATTGTAAGGACATTACATTCAATTGACCAACAGAGCATGGGAAGAAAAAAAAGACCAAACATATATTTCATTTATATTGAAATTTGATTTTATTAAACAAATGCAATTTACAACTTTATATTAATGAAGGTTAAAATTTCTGGCATTAGATTGATAAGGAAAAAACTTATGATTTAAGAATAAATTTTAAATCAGAATTTGTACATTTTTTTTATTAAGTTTGCTTTGCACCTGGTCTCATTTGTAGGAAACACTAGGCGAAGATCGATTGACAAAGTTGCTGGATGATGGTAAAGATGTATCTATATACTGGGGTACAGCAACGACTGGTAAACCTCACATTGCTTACTTTGTACCCATCAGTAAAGTAGCTGACTTTCTAGAAGCTGGATGCCAAGTGGGTATTAATTTTATATGAAATGTATTGATTTTTATTTGATGGATTTGTGTACATTTCAATATTTTTTATGTTTAATGATGAATACTCTGTAATCTAATATAAAGCACTTCTTTCAAATAGGCACCTATAATAGTTATTATCTATTTTTAGTTATTAATTGTTAGTAGTATTTATTATTTATATGCCTATTATTGGAATCATTTCTTTAATTATTATTATATTTACTTTTCATTATTATAATTATATTAAAATAATATTACTACATCATAGTAATTGCTATTACCCCATTATTATTAATTATTATGATTTATTAACTTTTACATTAATATTAAATTATAACATATATTTATTGTTTTTGACCTTTAGGTCACAATACTTTTTGCTGATCTCCATGGTTACCTAGATAACATGAAAGCACCTTGGAGTCTACTAGAACTGCGTGTGCAATATTATGAAACTGTAATCAAGGCAATGCTGCAGTCAATCGGCGTGCCTTTAGAGAAACTATGCTTCATCAAGGGAACAGAATATCAGCTCGACAGGTGAGTGAGCCCTCTATCGGTACAATTCTATATGGAGAAGTGTAGAATAAAGTTTAATGATATAATAATTTCACTTTTAGTAAACATAACCAAATTAAAATAAATGCAAAAAATGTTTTGTTGAAATTACTTAAAACTTTGGTGTATTTTTTATATTATTTTAGAAAATACACTTTGGATGTTTATCGATTGAGCTCCATTGTAACTGAGGTAAGTTAGTTCATATGAATTGTTTTTTTCTATAGAACAAGTAATAAACTTAAATTGATTGATTGATTGATTAATTATCATAGTGTTCAAATATTTATTTATTATTGGACATTTAAATCTGTTAAAAACTTCAAAATGAATAATAAATATTCAGTACATCTTTTAGCCGATCACACAATGGTGCTCATCATGCATTGAGTAATAATAATCTCTAGTTTTCCCCCTTCTGTTGTTAGCATGATGCCAAAAAAGCAGGGGCAGAGGTAGTAAAACAGGTCGACCATCCTCTTTTGAGTGGGCTACTGTACCCTGGACTGCAGGCCCTAGATGAGGAGTACCTGAAAGTTGATGCCCAGTTTGGAGGAGTTGACCAAAGAAAGATATTCACTTTTGCAGAAAAAGTAAGTTGGCGTGAAATTGGACAACACCTGGTCATATGTTTAGGAGTACAAGTTGGTATACCTGGTGCCTTTCCACTAAGCCCTACCCCTTGGCTATTGTTCCAATAACACAAATGTACGTAAACATGTGTCCTGATTGGTCAGTTGTTAATTTGGTTGACACTCCGGAAAGATTCATTGGATAAGCTAATTACTACTAGCTCCAAAATTATGGTATACTTATCTAGGAGTTTATTACTATAGATTTAGTGAGTTGATATGGTTATATTTTTTTTTTTTGTACAAACATATTCAGTTTATTTGTATCAATTTCAAAAATTTTACAACTTAAAATTGTTTTCACATTTTTTTTCTAGTATTTGCCAGCACTAGGATATAAGAAAAGAATACATTTAATGAACCCAATGGGTAAGTTAACATTCAGAAATCAATGTACCTGTATTATCAAATCATAAACACTTAGTTAGCCTACATACTGTACAAGCGTATTTTTATATTGTTATTTGTATTTAATTATCTGTTGGTTTTTTACTATTCAGATGTATTATGAATTCTATTATACTTTTTTATTTTAGGCAGATTTCATTTTAATCCACTCAAATATTTTGTCAAATTCAGAGTGGACAAATACGTGTATAACATTTCATGTTGTCACCACCCTACAAAGATAACTAATATTGGTTTTTCTTCTTTCTTTATTTAGTACCAGGACTTACTGGAACAAAAATGAGCTCATCAGAAGAGGTAAGCATATTCAATAACTAAAACTGATCAGCTAGTCATAGAGAGTTAGTAGCTGATCCAGAGGGCGCCATATCTGCTTGAGAAAATACGTAAAATGTTGCAAATGATTAAAAATTGGATTGTATTATAAAGAAAATAACACTCTATTATTCTAAGATAATATATAAAAAAAACCCAATATTTTTACTTGTATAAAGAACAATTGTTAGGCTTAAGCAGGAGAGATTCTATTTTCCTTTTATTTTTGACAAGGATTCTAAGATTGATCTCTGCGATAGTGCGGCTTCAGTGAAGAAGAAGTTAAAGAAAGCATTTTGTGAACCGGGCAACATTGCAGAGAATGGCGTCCTAGCCTTCACCAAGCATGTGTTGTTTCCACTTGCCCGGGGAAAGCGTAAGAATAAGAATTGCATTATTTTCACTTGTAAAATTGATAATTTAGTTTTTATACAATATTTTTTATTAAATCTATCAAAAAAAGGTCCTCCATGAATGCTATAAACAGAACAACAATGGTTCAGAAATTATCACTGAAGTACAATAAATCCACAATGAACAGTTTTTTTTTCAATTTCATGACATGGACACCATGGCAGTAATAAAATTTAAGAAAGAATTTCATAGTTGGAATTCAAAGAGAGAATCATGTCTGATCATACATGTTTCAAAATATTTATAAACAATAACTAGTTGGTCTTACATAGCACATCATGCCAACACTTCTATGCACTTTAAAAATTGATGTCTCACATGTTGTGTCTAATTACATTTTTCTGTCTTCTTTATAGCATTTTTGATTGAACGCAAAGAGGAGTTTGGAGGAAACAAATTATTCAGTGATTATGAGACACTTGAAAAAGAATTTGCAGAAGAGGTATGGTGTTGTTTTGAATATATTACTTGGAGCTAATAGTTTTTTGAACAATGAGACACTAAAAAAAAAATTGTTTGGTAAGCATGAATGTAAGTGAGAAAATCCTTGCTACTACTGTACAACATTTATATTTAAAATGTTTAGTTATGTGCAGCAGTGATGGTAGTTGTAATGTGTGTAACAGTGATATTGACTCAATAATATCTATGGTGATGTTACCATGACAACAAGGATGATAATGATAATTACACCATTGCATGGGTTACATATTATAAATCTCAAAATATAATGAATATTGTTTATGAGCTAACAAATTTCTAATTTTCATAGTTGGTTCACCCTGGAGACCTGAAACAGGCAGTAGGACGAGAAATAAATAAACTTCTTGAGCCAATAAGACAACAATTTGAAAAGCCAGAGTACAAGGAGTTAGCAGCAAAAGCCTATCCAGTTGAACCAAAAACAAGTAAGATAAAAACCTTTAATCAATAGGATTTTGTTGCAGTTAGACTATTTTAAGTGGTCACTGATAAACTATATAGTCACAAGGTAGATACATTGTAGTATTACATTCAAAAAGAATATTTTTTGTGTTAAATATAATAAATTATACATTTATATACATTAATGATGAGAACAGTAACTAGTTAAATTTCTTTTTGTTTCTTTTTACAGAAGCAAAAAAAGGTGGAAAGTCAGGGGCAAGTGAGGCCAGTGAACAACTGACCCCAGCAAGACTGAACATTAGGGTGGGCAAGATCGTCTCCGCTGAAATGGTAAGTCGGTCTGAAATACTAACAACCCTATTAATGAACCCTACAATTATTGTACGCTATGATACAGAACTTATACAAATTATTGATTAAGTTAATAATATAGTACTTATATTTTACAGATACACAACTGGTGGTTGATATTGCTAATTAGTCATTTCTGAAAATAGCTATATCCTCGGTTTCAATAGATTTTTTATAATTGCTATTTATATAATACTTAAATATTATTATTCTGTATTTGGAAATCTTTGACCAATTATGGTATTTTCTATTTTGATTAGCATCCTGATGCAGAGTCCCTGTACCTAGAGAAAATTGATGTTGGGGAAGCTGAACCCAGAACTGTGATAAGTGGCCTGGCTGGAAAGGTACCCCTTGAGCAGTTGAAGGATAAGATGGTGGTTGTTTTATGCAATTTAAAGCCAGTGAAGATGAGGGGTATTGAATCTCAAGCAATGTTGCTCTGTGCTGTAAGGTAGGTAGAAATGTTGAATCCATAAAAATATTTAGAAAAATTTATGTGTATATATATATATATATATATATATATATATATATATATTTAATTTGTTCTCACCGAACCATGACTTTTTAAGGGATGCTCTATAAAGACTCCTAGAAAAAAAAAAAATTTAGCCGGAATTTAAAGAAATTAAGGATTTAAAAAACTAAAAAATATATATACTATAATTGTGTTGTTTATTTCTACACAGTGAGGATGGCGCAATTGAACCACTCTCGCCTCCAGAGGGCAGCAGTCCTGGAGAAGTAGCTTTATTTGAAGGGTTCAGTACTGAGCCAGATGCAGAACTTAAGCCGAAGAAGAAAGTATTCGAGAATCTGCAGGTGAGTATGCCATGTGGCCTACTACATGACAGTCAATCAGAGGTTTTCTGTAGAATTTTTATTTCCAATCAACTGTTATCAGGCACAATTTCATAGCAGGTAAGGAAGTTCCATAGAACTTAAGAACTCCTGTCTTGCATTTTACATTATCATTAGTCTTTTTCTAAAATGTTTTTTCCAGGTCGACATGAAGACCTCAAGTACATGCATTGCACAGTGGAAAGGGCATCAACTAGCTACCAAACTTGGACCTATTACAGCACCCTCTCTAAAAAATGCCTCAATAAGATAATAGTGTAGTACAGTACTACAAGGTTTTTAATATGTAATGCAATTAATTGCCCTACCTGCCAATGCGGTGTAGTGTTCAGTTAATGTCAGTAGCGTATCTACTCAATGGCCCAGGGGAACACACCCTTAAAAAATGCTGGTTCCCCTTCCCCAAATGGAAGTTTGCTGAGCTAAAAATTACCTCATATATTTCTACAATGACATTTAAGCCTGTTCCATGTTTGTACTCAAATTTCAATGGCAAAAGGTACAGTTGAAATGGGGAGCACTTGCCAAAAAACAAATTTTCAGCTAATGCTATCAAATTCCACCTAATTTATCATGTCATTTTGCCTGGTACAACACCACCAATACTGTACTTAATACTGTATTAATTGCATTTTCTACACTGAATTTTTTAGAAAAGACTAGCAATTGCACTATACCATCTGTTTCAGTGATGGGGATACAATCATTATCCTATTTATTATGAATTTTACACTGTGATGTTAAGTGTTGAAATGTATTGGATACTCCCCAGGTAATTTGGGATTTTGATCGCTGATTAAGTGAAAAAAAGCTATCGTATAAGTTTTTCCACATATTGAGCGCTTTGTGACTTCTGTAGAAAGTGCTATGTAAATTGAACTACTGTACACTACATAACATTACTTTGAAAAGAGGTCTTGGAATTAGAGGGATACAGTATTTGGATGGTGAACTGTAATTTCTACTTTGCCAGTGGTGGCAGTGTCAAATATCAAACAAAATGCATTGTGTACAGTACAATTTATAATATTATGTGTAAAATTCATATCAAATGAAAGAAGATAAATAAAAAAGAAATCTATGAATGGGCATTTGTGTCTCGTGAATTGTCATACAAAGGACCTGAACGAATAAAACACAATTTCGGAAATGTTTTTAACAAATCAGGAACATTCTACATAAAGCCCCTCTCCTACTACGATTCGGAAATCTCTCGAGAACTCTTATCTACTCGTAGCAGCTCTGAACTCATGGTGCTAATTTTGAATATTTTCAAAATTTGCATCACGAGTAGATAACTCGTAGGTAGAGTACTTGGGGTACTCCTACCTAGCACGTACGCTACTCTGGATACTCGTCGGTGTTTTGTCATCTACGAGTTTGATGTGAGCACCGCGAAATGAGTTTGAGTACGAGCGCACTGAGTTGGCTCATACCTAACTCGTAGTTAACTTGGTGCTCTGCTCGGTATAATTCCTACATAACTCGTAACTAACTCCATAACATGTAATCTCATATAGGACCTTTCCAAAGATCACATGTTTTTAACATGGTTTTTAACTCGCCAATTATAGGATATAAGGCCTAAAAAATAGTTTGTTTTCCCTTCATTTTTTAAAATAATAAAAATAAAAGGGGCGGGTGTTAAGTGTTTACTCAACAGATGGAATAAAAATAAACCACAGTTGACATTTTGCAATGAATGTAGGCCTAGAATAGCAATATCTTACATCAGACAACTTTAGAAAACGTTTTAGGGCATCTGGTAAAAAATAAAGATCAATTCACTCACACTTTTTTTGAATTGTAAAGAAAAAAGTTAAAAAAAAAAAAAACTTTTTTATGTTTTTTTGTTTTGCCACCCCTATTTTTTTTAGGCCTAATGATAAAAGAAGTCTGTTTATGAGCATAGACAGTGAAGCTGTTTTTAGTATACAAGGGGAAAAACCCTGCTGTTGCGGAGTTTGAAAGCTATACCACTATTCTATATAATTCCACTTGGAAAAAAAAACAACTTGTACATTTTAAATTTATAAATATCCAAAGCGCTTTACACAAAGATGTTATTCGACTTGCAGAATTTACAAATGTTAAATTATGTACAACTGGATGTAATATGAAAATACACCTGCTAAGCAAAGTTTCACTATATTTAATATCAAAGCTTTGATTCAAAAACAATTTACATTCGTTAATAAAATATCTCTATAAAATCTTATTCACATAATGTTTAGCTACATAAAAATAACAAGCAAAAATACTGTAATACTTAATTGACCCTCCATAATTTTAATTATTTTTACAAGAGTACAAAAGAAATGATGGGAAGGGGGAATTATCAGTACATGTATTCATTTGAAATTTCAAATGACAATCTCAAAATAAAAACAACCATCAATGTGAGGGGCCCACAAACAAAATTTGGATGACCTAATCAAATGTTACTGTACGTATGTATGTATAAATCTACATATTATTTTAAACTCTGGTGTAACTGAACAACATGCCGGATGATTCTAAAGTTGGGAAAACACTCCGTTGTATGGCCGTCAAATCCAACTCCCCATCCTGTCAGTACTAGACGATGCTACACCATCTGATAATTGTCAGTGGCAATCTGAACAAATTGTCATTAAAATTTATCCATTAGGCACATTCTCTAAAGAATTGTGTCGTCTGACAACTGCCGGACCAGCGAGTGCCGAGCTTAACAGAATATGCAATATTTACTGCCAGGCTTTTTCTTCATATCTTGAGGAGCTAACCAGTGAAGTATTTTCCTGTTTTGCAAATAAAACATTTCAGTGTATTTGAAGATGAATATAGTCTCATTTTATTTGGTTGGAATTTCAGTTGGAATATTGTAAACCTGATAGAAATTTGTCAACATCCATATTCTTTAGAAATCCTTTTCTTTTTTTGTTTGATTTCTGTAAGTGAAAAAAGTAAATAATATTTATGAAATCAGATTTTTTTAAAGATAAATTATGACAATTTTTAAAATAGAAAAAAAAACCATAATTTATATCTACCTTAGATTTTTCAGTATCTTCATCTCTTTTTCTCTTCTTGTCAAGCCTGACATCATCATCATTTACTGCTAGATTTTTCCTTGGTGATTTTCTTGGACTAACAACCTCAGGTGCTAAGACTACAGGTTTCTTAGTTTCCGGGGTGACTGGTTCCGTCATAACTACCTGTCTACCTGCTTCTTGTATATTTTTATTTGGTGACATATAGGAGGCCATATCCATGAGAAGTTGGGCAGCTTCATTCACCTCCTCATCAATATTATGACTAACTTCTGGTGAATTCACAGTAATGCTATCTACTTCTCCAAACGACACCCGTTTTAACTCTTGTGGACTCTCAGTCTGTTTAAGAGAACTCTTGAGTTTATGATCTTTTTTGGATGGAGAATCATTTTTAATTTTATCAGCACTTTTCCTTGTAGCCTTGGATTTCCTTGGCGATTTCTGTGACGGCAAAGTCTGTTTAGTCTTGCTCTCTTCCGATTTCTTAATCTTGCTGCGAGGAGATTTTGGATTATCAGTTTGTGTCTTCCTTCGTGGAGATCTCCTTACAGTTGACTTGCTTTTTGAGGGACTTTTCTGAGCTTTCACATTTAATTTATTCGGCGATTTATCAAAAAATTGACTTGTAGTACTGGTATCTAGTATAGGCCTTTTTTTCAAAGGTAAATCTTCACCTAATTTTGTTGGTGTTTTAGTCTTGATTATTTTTTGTTCTTTTACCTCGTTGGATTTCTTGTTTTTGGGTGGCGACTTCTTACTTGTTTTCTTTGGAATCGGTTGCCGTGTGGGAGCATCTGATTTTTTATTACTCTTTCTTGCTTTTGTCAATTTTTTCTTTGGTTCCTTAATTGAAATTTCTTCATCAAAATCAAGGATTCGAACATGGGATTCCTTGGAAAGATCTTGCTTTCTTGATCTTGAATGAGCTTTAGTTGCACTTCCCAGGCTGACCTGCAGATCTGGACAAGCAGAGGATTGGGTATTATCAGAAGAAACCTCTTCGAAAGATGTCACACCATCTGCCATTGTTTTTACAATTACTTTCACTGGTGTTGGCATGATATTTACACAACCCTGAGGACTAACATTTTGGATGGATTGAAGATCCATCAAGTCGATAGTTTGTAGTTTCTTTGTATTCTTCTTGTCGATAATTTGAACCTCAACAGCTGATGTGAAGGCAGTATTTTGTGAACATTGCTCGGAACTGACAGGAATTGGTCTTATTCTTCGGCTACTACGGTTTGACTTTTTGCCGTGTCCTGAAACAATTTTCGTTGATGACTTTGCATTCTTTTTTCCATTAACTACTTTCTCTTTTCCTGTCGGAGCAGAATCTACTTGCCCACAAGCATTGTCTATTTCTGATCTGCTTGGTACATGGTTAGTGATAACATTTGCTTGATTAGAATTGGCAAATTGCCAGCTGGGTACTACATTAACCACTGTTCTTTGCTGCCCAGCAGGTACAATCTGATTGACAGGTTGTGAAGATGAGTCAATCGGTTGACATACAGGAAGGATTGGAAAATTTGATAATTTCTCAAAAATATTTGAATTTTCATGGTTGCTGTCACCATCATATGGAACATATGTCACTGGAACACTGGTTGATATATTTCCAGAAGATCCAATCAGGAGAGGATCAATTAGACAAGGGATGTTAATTACCTGGTCACCAGATGGCAGTTGCAAGTCAGGTGGCCTTATGTGTGTTGGTTGTGCCCATCCAGGAACATTTGACCTTATTTTTTTTCTTGGATCCATCACAATAATGGTTTGTGTGTCATCAGTTACTTTTTTTTGACGGATTACAGAGTTATTTCCATTGAAACCTTCCACAGGACAGCTGTATATAACTTGAGATGGTTGTGACTTCAATGAAATGTTAAATGTGGGTGGCACTGACAATTCTACAGTCTGAACCGGAGGATCTGTTTTTGTTTCTATTTCTGATGTTTTTAATCCATCACTGAATCCATTTGAAGACACATCTGTCTGTTTATTAGATGTTGAAATGTCCTGATGTGAGGATGCTACAATACTTGGTATTGTTACTTGCTTAGCCTTTTCAGGTGATTTTTTTGCCGTACAATTGTCCTCTTTCTGGTTCATTTTTATTGGAGATCTTGATTCTTGCATAGCAGAAGCAAGAATACTGGCTGCTATTGAGACAGTAGTTACATTTTCTGTTTCATCTGAAAGTGTTTCAGATAAATTTTCTCTCTTATTTCCTCCTGCATTCACTTCTAGGACACATTCTGCTATGGCATCACAACTCAACTGGTCTACTGGTTCATCAGTATCAGGAAATGTTTCAAAATATTTCAAATCTGAAATTCCTACTTTTCCTGAGCAATCAATTTTCTGTGCAGAAATGTCTTTATATTCATTAGCAAGAACACTTGGAATCTCTTCCCCATCTTCTACAATTGACTTCTTGCTTGAAGTATCTGTGCGGTTGGTATCACTAGGTATAGTAATATCTCTTATTTCTTTTGACAATTCTACAACTGTTTCTGACAATCTCTTCGGTTCATTGGCAGGGCTTTGTTTTTTAATTGCCATAGGAGGGCTTACTGAAGTATTACTTTCTCCAGAAACAACAGCTACACTGTGAGAAAGCTTAGAGTTCTTTGGTGACTTATAACTTTCAGATTCAGATCTACTAGGTTGAATGTTTCTAGATTTTCTGGCCATGTATGGCGAAGTTCGAGCACAAGAGTCCGTTTTCTTAGGCGTCAGCGATGTCATCATCAGAATGCTAGAGGTTTCTGTGAATAAAATGATGCAAGAATAACAAATCAAGAGAAATGCTTATTTTGAAAAATCTATATAAGAAGTCTAAAAGAGAATATTAACAAGTTTCAATAAAAATTACCTAAAACATCTTTTTTAGCTGGTTTCCGGGACTTCCGCCTGTGTCCAGTGTTGTCTGGTACTTCATTAGTTCGGTCTTCTTTGGCAACAGCTATACTGTCTTTTTCAGAGGCCTTGGGCTCCTTCATCGAAGACTTAGCGGGGAAGGACTTCTCTGGCGAGTTTTGGACAACAGCTGAGTTATTGCATTCATTCACTGTACATGAAGGTTTTGTAGGTGATTGGCTCGGTATTTTCTTTTCTTGAGATTCACTTGGCAATTCACCTAATTTCAATGGGTTATTGAAATTAAAATTTTACGAAATATAAATCATATTTAAAAATAATGAATACAAAATACAAATAAATAAAAACCAACTACTAATCTGCTAAAGAAATATCAAGAATATATATAAGGCCAAAAAAAAAAAATTTGTAATTTTGTGTTGGCCACACCCGACCAACCCAAATTTTACAAAATCCAGTTTTGGCATTTTAGATCTTTTTTTTTTTCCCCTTGACTACAATGAACAATATATTTTTTTTAAAGATCAAAGGCTAAAATAGGTCAGGCTCGGGGGCCAAGGCCTCGCCTATTTTTCTGGATGGTACGCGATGCGAGTCCAAAATTGTTGTATTATTTGTGTATTTTCTACTTTGTAGGCGTAAACAAATTTTTGGTTGTTAAAAAAAATAAAATAAAGTTTTCCTACCGACCTACCCATTTTTTGTATATTCCCAAAACGTGGCTAACACAAATTTTTTTTTTTTGGCCTAATGGTATTTATTCAATCATAATAAAAAACATAAAACATGGCAGCCCACAGGCTGAATTGCGAATTACATTAACATCAAACATCAAAAGGTCTAAACTAACAGAAGTACAAAGAAGAATTACAAAGCAAAATACGAAACCACTGCACAATCAAAACAATAAAATTATGAATAGGCCTAACATTATTTAAAAAAAATTATATTAAAATTGCAGAATAATTTAATTAAAAGAGAAACATTGAGAAAATTACATCATAATCATATTAATTACAGTACATTGAAGTTGATGAACAGTAGAAAAATTACATTAAATTTACCTAACAGCTTACTTACCCAACATATCTGTTTTATCTGGTTTCAGGGTCTTTTGTCTGCATTCAGCGGTGTCTGCAAAATCAAGACTTTGGTCACCATTGGCAAGAATTTTACTATGTTTTTCAGAGGATTGGTTGCACAGAGCTTTATCTTGAAAGCTGGTGGTAGCCTTCTCCGGTGAGTTAGGAATCATAGCCGAGTTGCTGCATTCATTAAATAAAAATGAAGGTTTTGTGGGTGATTGGTTCTGCTCATTGCTTTCCTGATTGGTACTTAGTACTTGGTCTGAAAGCAACATATATATTTAAAATTAGCATTTCAGAAAGAAGATAAATCATTCTATTTATCTACAATAAATAAATTCTAGAGAATGCATCACAATGCCTAATTTAAATGCTATATAGGTTGAGTTTTTTTTTTTTAAATCCAATATTTCACACAAAGGTACCTCTCGGCAATCTTAAGCCTTAGTAACAAGATACATCTGAAAATATCATTATAAAATAATGAAATTACAGTAGCACTTGGCACAAAAAGGAGAAAATAACATTTTAAAGATACAGATTGAAAAGCTCATTAAAATGGATCTGATCAACAGACATTTCATAAAATAAAATATGCAAGTTGATTAATATTAAATTTAATAGTCAATATCTAAAAGGATACAAGAAGGGTATTTATTCAACAGTCCGTTATTAGGCAGAAAAAAGTTTTCTCATTAAAATTTTAATTAAAAGTCAAAAATTTACATTAACATAAAAATTACACAATCTAAATATGGAGGTTGAGTTTGATACTGTTGCATGAGACAAGAATTATATAAAAATAGCATTCACCTTCCAAAGATTCTCTTTCCTTTTGTTGTAGGTTCTCCTGCAAGAAATCTTGTTTACTAACATTGAATAAATTAAAAAGTCCTTCAAAGGCTGGGTCAATGGCGGTCATCTCTACAATGTCATGAATAGTGTCCTCGGAAAGATGGGCATCCAAGAAGCTGTCGCTGAAAATTTTCGGATTCTCCACTTCCTGCTGTTCTTCAGTTTTAAATGGAGTTGAAACGATTGGTTGGTTGTTATCACTATAAATAAACAAGATAACTCAAATTACTGAATTACTAATATTTTATGATTGTCACCTTATTTGATGGTGGTTGTTTAGGGTATTAATAGAAAGTATTGCAGTTATGCAACATAGTTTTTTTAACAGTCACTGAATAGCTGATTAGTGTAGATTAATGTAATATGTTACATGCAGTTTCAATACTGCACAAGAAAATCCCTGGCTGTGCAGAATTGAAAATGCGCAAAGAAATTTATATGGAGTTTTGAAACTGAGGTCTAGCCTATTGTTTACCATTATAAATTCCAAAATTACATATTGTCTTAATCTCCATTATTTTCAAAACAACTGAAATAATGTAAATGCAGTCTACGTTCCTAAATGAATATAATAATCAATATCTGAAAATGACACATTAGCAAAAATACCACAAGCAATGTTTTATAAGTTGCACATGGAGTGGTGTACACATCACAGCACAGCTATTAACCATCTCGCATCATGTGGGACGGTCCCGCATTTCAATGTGATTTTGGATGAAACACGCATTTTGCAGAAACACATGCGTGATCATAAATTTGTCACGCATTTAGCACAAGTCTATGGGTGATAACTAATTATTATGAACTCATGGGAAAATGTATTTAAAATGAGAAGAAAATGGTTTTATTAAAAATATAAAAACGGTCATGCAGTAACTTGAGTCGTTAGAGAGCTTTCGTTATCTCGTTCAAGAATCAATTCACTGAGAAAATTTCTCTTTTTCAACCAAAATAACTTAGCCAACCACGCACTTAGTAAAATGAGGCACGTGCTGTCTTGTGCATTCATTGTTACAACCAACCATTGATTATGTGACTCAAACCAGACCTCCACCGGGGCTCTGCCCCTGAAACCCGCCAACTGGTGTAGTCACGTATTTCAAACCTCTCAGATTGGTTACTAGGCCACAGCCTTGCAGTCTGGCCAACGCCATAAGGAAGATAGGCACTCTGGCCAGCGAGCAGCCTAAAGCTTCAATTACTATCACTTGCAAAATTCAGAAATATAACATATTTTAAAATCTTGGTTGAAACTCAACACACCTTGGAAGGGCTTTGTTGATGTTTTCCGCAAGTTTCTGTTGTAAGTTTGAGTCGTTGAGCAACTTCTCAAGAAGCGTAGGAAATTCTCTGATATCCTCATCAGCCAGGCTTAAGTTAGGCTCTTCCACAGACTTCACCTTTAAACTTCTAAAACATTAGACATTTTTAAAAATTAATCAAACTTTCATTATAAGGTATGCAATAGAGCTTTCATAAAACTATAATTTCTTATATATTTCTTACTGAAATTTAGTTATTAGAAAATAAACACAAAAGTAAAAAAAAAAACAATGGAATTATTTTAAAAAAAATTAAATAAATAGCAATAAAATAATGTCACAAATAAATCATGCTTTTATAGTCAGTGGGTAGGCAAAACATAATTACTTTAATGGCAGTTATTATGAGGCTCTACTTAGTAGAAACAAAGAGGTTTTGGCAGATTACAGACCCATTATTTATGACCTCACAACTGTATCAAATAACCCGAAGGTATGTACCATCAGAAGCTTAATGATCTTGGGCGACCATACACATACGAATATGGTAGTCTTTAGATACCCACGCCACTAAATTTAATTTAGTCTTTGTCCTTCTGGGCGCATGACTCAAGAACTACTGGAGAGTCACACGCTGACAATCTCGGTCCTCAAGTTTGGTGATGATCAAAAGACGCAGGTTTTATAATGTTATTTATATATTTTCTGGCCGCAACAGACATAGCCAACTGGAGCGGATCATTATGGCTGGTTTGGCTAGGCCGAGCTGACTCAAGCGGATTGACCATGGGCCAGAGTAGGCATGTGTTAAATTTTGGCCGGCGGACTGGAAGTGGTCTGGCCAGCGTGCAAACTCACCCGATTGATGGGCTTGTCGCACAAGGCCTAGAATGCTAGGCTTTGTTTGGCTCGACTCGAGTAGATCAACTGTGGGCCACTATTTTTTCAGTACACAGATATGGCGAGGGTTTGTAATCTTGATTATCTTGTTGCAATTTTTTTTCATTTGATTTTGCTTTTTATTATTTTATGTAACATTATTTTTGTAATGTTGATACTATTATTAGACCTCAAAGACTTGAACAGTGGATAAAATTTTAATTGTAATATACAAAAAAATACTTTATGCCCAATAATACAAAAAAAAAATATATGTTCTAACAAACATAAGCAATTACTTCATGGACAATTTTAAGGTTAACTAAAACTATCACATACTTACTGAATTTCTTTTTCAGATGCTTGCTGCTTCTCTTCATCAGCTAAGGAATAATAAATTGGATAATAGATATTTATAAAATGCCATACCAAAATTGATGAACATAAAGAAAAAGTCAGAAAGTAGTTTCAAAATAAACAAGTTTATCAGATTTGAGACCTGTAGAACAGAAATGGTGCTTCAAAGGATAAGAGGTCTGAACAGACAAATAGAACATTGACCACAAGTTGAGGACTTCTGCGTGTTTGAAGTCTGTGTACATGGAGAAAAATTAGATACTGTAAAATAATATGATGTTGTTTAAATGAAGAAATGCAGAAAAATGCTGTCTTAAAGCCATAGTTACAATATCAGTGAAAGGTTTGATCATCAGATCAAATCAAAATCATCAGATATACTGAAAGCAGTCTCCAAAGCATCTGTATTCCTAATCTAATTCAAACAAAATTCTACACATTTGTATCTTACAATCCATAATTCATGTTTACAAATTTAATTTACCTGTTGAAAGCTGATTGGTCGGTGAAGTGTAGGCCGGAAGAGCATATTCCATTGGCTCAGGTTCCTTTATGTTTCGATTGGCTGCAGACTGAATATTCAACTTGGACTGGTGGGATAGATTCTCAAGGAAGTGAAACTCACGAGCACAGCTGAAGTCAGCAGGATGTTTAACCACTCTATGTCCCTGTGTTGTCTTAGGTAAGTGTTCTGTTGCTGTTGTTGTACAATTAAGAGTAGAGGCTGTGAAGATAAATTCTATATGAATGATGTTTTACCCTACACATTTGCCAGACATGCAATGGACCGTTCAGCTAAGCCACGCCCCTTGGATACTGTTGCTAAGGTCCCACAAGGCGACAGTTTTAAAACATACGAGAGCACGTGCGTTTGTGGGACAACACGTGTGTTTGTGAGACGCGCGTGTATTCCTATCGCTGTTCTGATTAGTCAGTTGTTAAGTTTGATTGACACTCCGGAAAGGTCTATTGTACTGCATACTTAGTACATTCAAAATACCATAAAATATATTCTATACATATTAATTCACTATTTGTCTGATTTTCTATTTCATCAGTAACGTCTTCCGTCTTGCGACATAACGCTCTTCCCTATTGTATACTTAATAAAATACCTAACAGTAGGTTGATCATTGTGTTTTAATATTATAGTTTAGAGATTATAATAATAACATATCTAAACAATAGTATTTATAAATGTATAAACAGTAAACTCATGAACATAATAGTGGACAGAGAGGTGTTAGTCAGGTTAAGGTATAAAACACAACATAGATAGTATTTTACTGACTAATTCATTACACAAGCTTTTGCCAGTATTCTATGGTGGCTTCATCAGGTGCATTAGACTACATTTAATGAAGCCAGCAATGCACTGCTTGGCTATGGATCCCCAGCCTCAATTTAAAATTGTACAGTAAACCAAAAATCAAATTTACCTTGTAGTAACTGACTTAATTTGGCATTCTGACCTATGGAAACATCTGATGACCTTTGTACCTGGGGGCAGAATGTGTCGGGCGGATCTACAACAATAGCACCAGATGGAATATCAGAGTAAGTCTTAGAGATACATATAGGAACAACTGGACTTTGTTCAGTTAAGGTGGCAGTCTTAGCCTCTTTATCCTTAGCCTGTTTGGCCCGTAGGACTCGTAGCTTATGGAAAGACAGAGCTAGATGGGAAAAAAAATGAAAACAATATATAGAATCTGGAAACCTTCTTTATGAATAAATCCAGTATCATCAGCATCGTAATGAAAAACACTACCAACTTCATTATATCTTTATACTCACTATAGACTGCTAGATGTTTATTCAGAATTTTTAACTGATTATATTTTTGATATGTCTTAATTTGATAATGAGGTGTTCCATTTACAAGCAATATGTTTCCGGAATTTTACTTTTCTTTGACTGCTAAAATATTGTAATATTATCTATGATTATTGTATGATTTATCTACTGATGTTCAAAGAAATAAAAAAAAATTGTCATTGTTATTGTCACCAAAATTTGTTTGTCTTGCCCAAGCACAGCAACATTTGGAAACTATGACCAGTCAGTCCGCCCACAATTTTTTAATATTATAGACTCAATTCTTGAATTTAACGTCAACCTAGACCCGTAATCATGTTCATGGAAAGGGGGTTTCCTATAGGCCAAATTTAACACAGAAGTGTTTCTTTAATAAACAAATTTATGATAATATACTACTACTGTAATAAAGTGGTCAAAAAAAGAGGGGTGGGGGAATGGTGCAACCACTTACCACATGCATTTTGGTTGTCATCAATGGGGCTAAAAGCCATGGTTAAGGTATCAAATTTAGTTATGAAAGTCTGAAACATGGTCATTTAAAATCCCATACAAGTAGTTTGAATTTCACCTTAAATATTTCACCTAAATATTCCCTAGCATCCACACCAAACAACCACCACTTTTTACATTACTGTCATCTTAATCAACACCACCAACACAATATTTTCTGCCATTATCATCATTACCCTGTCATTTTCTTTGCCACTGCCATCATCATCTTTATTAATTATCAAAGCATGTAATCAGATAAAATGTCTTACTATTTTGTCTTCGACACTCCAACTTGCTTACATAGGAGCCACTATGCAAATAACTAAATGAAGAGAAAAGTAATTCAATGAGTGGAATAATTAAAGGAAAATATGTACAATGCTATTATCAATCACAAAGTATATATTTTACACACTCATAATAACTGATTTTGCATTTCAAATAAAATAAATGATATCCCAGAATGTAACTCACCTTTCATTTTCCTTTGGTCTTTCTAAATTTTCAACCAATGTCGTCCTTTGGGTCTTTTGTTTCTTTTTAGCTGAAAAAAAAACCATTTAAAATTATATAAAATATAGGCATAGATGCATATAGCTAATATTATCATATAACTCAGTAGAGAGCATATCTCCGCCCACTTTCTATAAAAAAAATTCTGCAAAAATATGTTCCTTCTTTCCAACCACCAACCACAATCTACTTAAAAAATATTACACTAACACAAAATTTTCATTTAGATGAGTTGTTTAGTTTAGTTCTGATCCACGTTTTGCTTTGAATGGCCCATAATTGACACTAAAATATAATCACTTTACTTTTCGAATGCCTTTTATTGTTATCAGTTCACCTGCCAATTCCTCACATGTTCTGGCTTAACTTACAGGCAAATTTTACTCTTATAGCTGACAAACAAAATACATGCAATGAATTGGTGTTGAAATGGAAATATGAGGATTTGATTTTTAGCATCACATGTATAAATGTTAAGATGAATTAAAAATATGCAAAAAAATGTTAACATTTCTTCATCAAAACATGACAAACTTATCTTGGCCATGTCATTTAGGGCCATTGATTATTTTAGAGATATTTAGGTCTGGGACCATAGGATTTTAAATGACCCTCAAATCCACACACAAATTTGTCGTACACAAAGAAAAACAATACGAAAACAACAAAAACATGACACACACACACACACACACAAACTTAAACAACTGGAAACATATATCTCCTGTGGAGATAATAACATATAATTTAAACTTGTGCACATTAAGGAAATAAATCAATTTTGTATCTTGCTATAAATAAACTCATTTAAATAATTCACCTGGTGAAGTCTGATTGGCTGGTGGAGTGTATGCTGGAGGATCATAATATTCCATTGCTTCAGCTTCATCTGAGTCCTGATTGGCTATCGATTGATTATTCAGCTTGGCTTGGGTTGATGAATTCTCAAGGAATTGAAAATCGCGAGCATAGCTGAAGTCAGCAGGATGTTTGACCACTCTATCAGTCTGTGTTGCCACGGGCGACGACTCCGTTGCAACTGTTGTACAATTAAGAGTAGAGGCTGTATAAATTTAAACAAACAGTAATTACAAATCAAGTGATAAACTCAATAAAAACTCATGAAACTATTACATGAATCCATTATACAATATACAGTTAAACTTGCCTAAGTCGACTGTGCCTAAGTCGACTGCGCCGTCGAAGTCGAATAATTTCTAAGTCGAATAATTTCTAAGTCGATCTTATTTTACATGCCAAATTGTTGTGTTTTCCATTAATTAACAATCTGTAAGTCAAATTTTATCTAAGTTTAACAATATTTCAGTGGCATTTTGGATTCGACTTAGGCAAGTTCAACTGTATGGTTAAATTTTTTATGGGTGGCTTCATTGAAAAATCCAAATTAAACTAGTATTGTATTTTACTTATTTTTTAAAATATACTTCTTATATATAACTTTGAGAGTTTTGCCACTTACAAGATGGAACTGATCTATATTTTATTATGTGACAACTATATGTGATATGTCCATATTTGGTATAATATGACATCATCATGACCATATAACCTAAGACCTTGGGAAGCAAGAAACTTAAGCATGAAAACCACAGCTCCACTTTTTTTTCACTACATTCAATCATAATTTTCAAGTTTGTTTTATTCCTTAGAAAACTAATATCTACCAAATAAGTATTTACCATGTGGTAACTGACTTTCTGCGTTCTGAACATTGGAAACATCTGATGACCTTTGTACCTGGCGGCAGGATGTGTCAGGCGGATCTACAACAACAGCACCAGATTGAATCTCAGAGTAAGTCTTAGAGATACTTATAGGAACAACTGTACTCTGTTCAGTTAAGGTGGCAGTCTTAGCTTCCTTGATCTGCTGGGCTCGTAGGTGTTGAAGCCTTCGGTAAGATAAACCTGGAAAATAGTAATAAACAAAAGAAAATAGGGGCGTATAAAACCTGCACATATTTTGGTTGTCGAAGTACGCAAAAGAAGATATGTGAGTTGAAAAATTAAATTTGCTCAGACTAGGACGCTGGACATCCCTCAGTGAAAAGTTGAGACGTTGGTGGCGCTGTTTCAAAATAAACCCAATAAAATCGTGTATACACAATACAAACAGACAAACAAATCTTCATCGCCTCTGTCTTCATTGTCTTCATCCTCATTATTATTATCTATCATCATCATCATGTTTGTAAATGAATATACAGTAAGACATCCATTTTACGTACCCCTTGGTACCAAGGGGAGTTCGTAAATTGAAAAATTTGTTAACTAGATCAGGTGTCAGTTTCCAATACCTAACTACCCCTGCCATTGAGTGCCAATAGGCTGACGGCGGCCAGGCCTAGCACGAACCAACAGTGCAGCAGCGTGGTCTACCGTGCTAGAGCCTACCTGAATTTACCTTCAATAGAAACCTAATTATTTTAATCGCAGGCATTCTTCCACTTAACAAAATATCATTTTAACTCTTATTTAAACATCTGTATGTTTTATGGACCTTTCTATTGTGTTCTTTCTAGTTGTTAGACCGCTGAATTGTATTGTTTTCATGCATTTCGCAATCATATCTAGCATTCACGATGTCAATAAGTTGCTGATCCCAATAGTCTTGTTCATCATACTAAGCATGTGCGCTCAATCCGACGACACTTGCGTTGGTAATTCGTTGTTCTGGTTAGGTTTATTACATTAATATAATGATTATTATACCAGAAATGGAAAAAATACTGTATCGAACAAATAATAATGACTAACAAACTTGATTTTATTAAGAAAAATATACATTATCACTTTGTAAAACATGCGCAATCAGACTTTTTTACTGTAATAATTGGTCGATGATGACGTCATCAGGGACAAAGACTATTCATAAAAACAACGTTCGTAAAATGGACATTTTACTGTACTGTATTCAAGAAAAATGTCTTACCAGATTGGCTTCTAGGCTCAAATGGATTTAGGAGAGAACCACTAATAGAAAGAGAATAATAACTTAATTAGAAGAATTATTTAAAAATGAAACATATGCAATGTTATTAATAATTCAAAAAACATACATAAGTACATATATCATAGAGTGATTGCAATTTTTAAAATAAATTTACAAAAATAGACTACTTCTTTTTTTTTCGGCTTGGCCTAAATTAAAGGTTATACATTTAAAACACATTGTATCAATTTTCTCTCAAGAAGCTAACAAACCTATTAACTGACCTTTCTGCATCTTCAAATGATGTCTGTCTTTTGTGTTTTAGTTTCCTTTTCACTGAAAAAAACCAGCAAAATTATAATATGTAAACAACCATCTGTACCTGCAATAAGTTATTTATGGCCACTTATATATACTGTACATTAAAAATGTTTACCAATAAATTTACAGGAAAAAAGAATAACAGAAACACTTCCAGGACTGGAATTGTTTTTAAATTTAATAATTTCTATGCCCAAGTTAGTAATTTGTATGTCACTGCAAAAATGAGCAAGTGTTTTTTCAAAATTATTTATTTTATGATTTTTTGTCATTTTCAGGAACAATACATCTTTAAACTGACCCAGACCAGCTTTATGCTTGGTAATTTTGTGACTTACTTTTGGTCAGATAAACAAGCCAAAACATCCTAGAGTTGAATGAATACACATCTGCATGGACTAATACATCTTAAAACTGACACAGACTAGCTTCATGTTTTGTAATTTTGTGACTTGCTTGTGATCAGATAAACAAGCCAAAACATCCTAGAGTTTAATGAACACCGCTTGAACTTTATACTCACATGTTAATTTGTTGACCGAGTATTCATGAAGAATATTATTCAGGCTCTTGTCTGTGAGAGGCTGGAAAATCAAAATCAAGATAAAAGTAACTTTAAACACAATAATGACATCTTTGTATTAGGCCATTGCTTGATAGTTCCTGGGCCTTGAAGAGAACCGTAATTTATTACTAAACAAGCCACCCAGGATAAGTAAATAAGAAAATACAATAAGAAATGTATTAAAAATTATTAACAAATCTTGCAAAGCTATGTTAGATTCACTTAGTAACTTTGTTTACGTGTTACCACATCAACAGCAGAAAAGGAATGAGGATACTGTAAGTATTTGGGCACTGGTGTGGTCTTGGTGCCCTGGGACAGATGATACTATTTTGTGGGGTATTCATTAAAAGAACAATGGCAATATAGAGAGCTTATCCAGGTACTACAAAATAGTTACTAATTTTAACAAAAATTTGGTGCAATATTCAAAATAATAACAATATTATTTCTGTAACTTGAATCTTCATCAAGATTCACTACAGGTTAGTAACTATAATAATAATGAATAATATTGAGAGGTAGTGGTGAGGATTGTGGCAAGGTTCAAGTTAATGTTGATGTTGATATAAATGACGACAAGATAACTTGGGCTACGATGAGGACTTTGATGGTGGTGGTAATAATGACTAACAATGTAAGTACATACCAGTAGGTCTCAAATAAGAAGTTCTATTTTTAGGGAAGACAGAAAGTATATGATATAAACTAAAATAAAATTGTTTAAATTTTTTTTTCTACCAGAAGGTCTTTAATGTCTGCATCACTTTGATCAATATAATCACAAATGGCTGCCACGTGATTACATTCCAACAAAAATGTGTCGCATGTTTTCTCATAGCCTTCACTCCCAAGGTAGTCTGTAAGAACAATTAGAATTCTTTGAGAGCAGTTAGGACAAGAGAAACAAACTCATATTTATATTTTAAATATAGTACCAGATTTCAAGTTTAGTTTCCCTCTCTATGCTATTAAACACCTATCTCTGCCTCTTAATGCTGCACTCACCTACAAAAAAAACCTTTACACCCTTAAATCATTACTACCTACAGTAGACGAGACTTTTTTATACCTTGTTTTGCGAGCTTATGTTTTTAAAGATCATGAGAGGAGGGCAGAAAAAAAATATATAATTTCCTATTTAGAAAATACTGTAGTTTTGCCAAAAACATTCAGACGAATAAGAAAAAAAAAAGAAGTTTATTGACGTAGTAATGGGATGGTTAAATGTTTAAATGCACATAACTCAGAAGAAATATACATATCTTATTTTGGGTGATTTTAAGGCAGTGGTGGGTGTAATAAAAATAGAGAAAAACTCTTTGGACAAAAATAAAACTTTACTTTACTTTTATTATTACTTGTTTGCTAAACAAGTTATAATAAAAGTCTCACTTTAGGAGAAAACTATATTATGTACTGTACATACAAACATAAACAAATGGTGTCAATCTTACCTAAAACCAGCCTGGCAACATCAGCTGGTAAGAACACCATAGTGTGAAAGTGAGGTATCACAATCTACCACTGAAATGTAATAATTTTCCTACAACATAAAAAGTACAAAAAAAAACTATAATGTAAAGTAAACTATTGCATGGAGGATACATTAAGGACTAAGTTGAATATTTGCAAGGAAAATTTATAGAAAAATAGGTAAAACAGGGACTGCACAGTGTAAGGGTGATATATTCCTTGCATAAAACTTTAGGCCTTGAAATCTGTCCATGGATTTCTCAAGGGCTGATTTCCGTACAAGGGAAATATACGACTTAGCCAATTGTGTTATCTTTTTCCATTTAATATTTTAGTGCTTGTTAATAATTGTGTATTATAGTTTATTCAATCCATGATGGACTCATTGGTTGATGACTTGCATGAATAGCCAATTTTGAGTTTTGAAGGTACATAATCTAACTTGATTTTAGCACTGCTAACTGTTTGCTCTGTATCATGATTACATACAGTTTTGCAAAGGTCGTATATCAGTTATTCAATCCATGATGGAATCATTGGTTGATGGCGTGCATGCCATGAATAGGCAATTTTGAGCTTTGAATGTACGTAATCTAACTTGATTTTAGCATTGCTAACTGTCCGGTCTGTATCATAATTATACAGTAATTTTCAAAGGTCATATATCATGTCTGCTATGCTATACCCAGCCCAGTAAAAAGTTGCATTTCTTCTTACGTTGATGGGAACTTTTTAAAAATACACCAGATAACTTGTCTAGGCCTATATATAGTAATTCATGAATCAGAATGAAGATGACAAGCCCAAGAAGGATGCTACAGACTACAGTAAGATAAAAGAGCAAATCAGTTTGAAACACAACAACAGCCATAGGCTTATATATTATTTCATCATCTGTTTACAATAATTGGTTCTTAATATTACTATTTTTGTCTCTGCTCTGTCTGCTGTGTGAATGTCAAACGTCAGCCAAACTGGCCGCCAAAACAAGACCTTGTATGCTATGCTATGCGAATCCCTGCTATGCGAATCCCTGCTATGCTAGGGCTACCCTACACTGTCACACACCTCGCCCAGGCGCTAGAGGCCTAGCCTAGGCTAGCAGTAGCTAGCAATCTAGGAGGTCTACACACTTTAACTATCGTTATTTTACACGTATAAAGTGAATTAACAAAATTAAGACGTATTTTATTTTACTACTAACCACAGTATACTGCCGACATGGTAGAATGTTAAACACAATTGATCTAGATTTGTTTATGCTTTTGTGTACAGTACTCGTTTCAGGCACTCAACTCGCGCTCTTTCAACTCGAAAATTGATTGAATGGGTAGAACTGGTCTATAGACACTTGACAGGCTAACGTGTGTTTAAAAGAAGTAAAATACTGTATGTTGATTACTTTGCAAAACCCTAAGAGCATATCAAAGTGTAACCCTCATAAAATTACATTATTTAAATACTGATTATAATCCTTAAACTCGTTTTGCTTATTAATGTAATAGGCTAGCACAAACGTTGCTCTAAATTGTCATCAGGTTATTTAACCTTTGGCCGTTTGAATAACTAGACTTCACACGAAAATTGAAAATTGTATTCGAACTTTGTGTGTTAACAAAAACAAACTATCAATTCGCGTCAACAAAAGAAATATTACGTCAACATGTGTAATTATACCGTCAATAAAAACACTTTCATTTCTAAAGGAATCATACTTTTCTCATTCTACGATAGTGCTTAGATAAAATGTACTCTGATAAGACCATTCCAGTTTATCCTATAGAAGTAAGCTGATATTATATTCCTCAACGAAAGAGGTAGGGCCTACTATGAAAAAAGACACTTTTATTTTAAACACATTATTTGTATACTTGACTACTGGTTATAATTATCTATCTATTTTGTTTTATCCTATATACTACACACATTAACTGTCCACGAACAGACCTGCAAAAGATTTTGTGGTCCGCTCAGACTTTAAACCAATTTATCATGTCCATTCGACTCATTTTATCTATCTTTACGACAGTGTGATATATAATGAAGTACGGTAGCTTTGATGTACTTTTGGCGAATCATCTTCTAAAAACGACAATAAATAGATAGGGGTCTATTATTTAACATGTCCCGTGGGGTCCGCAAGTGTATAAAGTTTGAAACCACTGTAAGTCTTTGTACCTTGACATAGCACTGAGGATAGGTTCAAAACAACCGGCGCCGGGACTTTTTCGTTAAAGAAGCGGTACGCTAATTAGCGGTATGCTAATTGTTCTTTTATTTTGAGCACTGTTTTTACCATAAATTACTTTATTTGTTTTTATATGCATGAATGAATAAGGTCAAATATTGGAACACTGCAGCAATGTTATGGGAGTGGCTATCGCAGCATACACAATTGATAAGCAAAAGCTAATGTAAACATATTTTAAAAGCCACTAAATGAACCAGAGCTTTCGGACAATACTAGTCCTTCTTCAATATCGAGTAAGAAAAGACTCGAAATACCAATATTCAGGGCCGGGACACCTCTCTCCAGGGCATTTTTCAGAAACGTGTGGATATCTATCACGATGACAAACGCCTATAAGAGACGGGGACACTTCCGAGTGTGCTAATAGAAAATGGAAATTTTAAGGTCATGGATTGAAATCCTGAGCAGGGGCGGATTCCCCGCCCCCCGTCAGTCAAGCCAAAAAATAAAAAAAGAGTGAGAAAAGTGTGTAAATGTTCGTATTGACACTGTGCTTTTACCGTACTATATCCGCATATCCCCATTATGGATGAGGCTGAGGTGAGAAAATGTTAAAAGTTGGGGAATTTTGATGCCGGAAAATGGTAATTTCATACATAAAAACTAGAAAAATAACTATATCCACCTGAGCCCCCTCATGTTTGAGGCTGCATGAGAAAAAGTTGGAGAATGGCACTTAAAAACTTAAAATTTATGTTGGTTATTTTTTTTGACATTTGAAAAGGGGATGTCATCGGGACGCAACTGCCCAAAAAACTATTTTTGGCAGCGAAGGTACGCTACCAATAAACAATCAACAAACTACCGGGTTACTGGGTTGATTTGAAAGGTATTACATGGCTCAACTATTTTTTACTTAGGGGTTAATTGGCAAAAATCGCACACATATCATACGACGTCACTGACAAAGCCAGGGACAGCAACTCGATTTTGAGATGAATTTTCCGAATAAAGTTATACTAAATAACTTCTAATGACGAACTATTGTCTTCAGTTGTCTTTGTTGGTCATTCAACTGTCATTTTATCTATTTTTTCGGTGAAAATACCATTCTTAATAATCTATAAAACACCCACAAAACAACATCACGTTAGATCGATCGGTGGGGACGCCGTAGTGACGCCGGTAGGGTCAATTTTTGTCGGAAGGTATCAAGATGATAAACAGTTTCATTGGACTAAATTCTTGCTTATATTTAACCACCTGCTTATTTAAGATTATACTGACACTGGTTTCAAATGAAATAACTGACAACTTTGGTTTGTATCAATGTTTTAATAAGTACATAAAACTATGTCACAAATACGTATGCAAAAATGCACAGGGACACCACTCTGTTTTTTTTTTTTTAAATCTGTATGCCTGATCACCATCGTCATACACAGTATAATAGATTCAAGTAAGACGTTTCAAATGATATAAAAATGTACGTATGCCTTTGGAACAGTTTTTTTTTCGAGTTTTATTTACCTTAACGTCGACTCCGTCTTAGAAAGCAACAGGATTAATTACACAACAGTAGGCCTATCACCACTGTTGTAAAAAAAAAAAATCACGGTCAAGTAGTTAAAAATCACCTAAAATCACCTTATTTTGCGAATTAGCGAAGAAAATTGTAAGAATCTGAGAATTTTAGATGCCAGAAAATGGCACTTTGATACTTAAAATTTATGTCAGTTATTTTTTTAACATTTAAAAAGGGACACTTTTTTCAACCTCTGAAGGGGATGCTCGGGGTGTCTGGGACACGCCACGGTTACTACTGTATAATCTTATAAACCAAAATGCATGATAGGTGTGGGGATAGGGGCTTGGGTATATTGTTTGCATTTGCAGTAGTTACACATTTGAATTATTTGAATAATGTTATTTTTAGGTCACCTGACAGTAATTTTCTGTTTTAAGTTTATTTCTATATTGATTTTTAAACAGTTAAAAGCTTAGATTTACGCAATTATGTTGTGGTAAACGGCAACAGAAAAATAATACTAGTCATATGAATCAGGCAAATTCATTGTGGGTATAATAAAATATTATTCTAATAGTGATTCATTTAAACATACTGTTTTTTATCGTCAGATGAGCACATAAATTGAATTGTTTTTTGCAAACCTCCTCGCTACTCAACGCAAAAGTTTGACGACCAATTTTTGGGCAAGTACTTTTTTTAGGTCACGAAGTTTTGGTGATGCGTATTGACGCAAGTTGACGCGGGATAACGTTATGACCTTCTATGAGCAACAATACAGTAATAGTAGAAACTGTGAACAGCGTGTTTTTTTGCCTAGTTTGTTGTGTGGTTACGTAATAATAATATAGTTTAAGGACAGTAAACATGAAGGTATCTTCTGTTATTTGAATAATCATTAGTGGGTATGCCTAAACAAATTAATCTATCAGTGTAATCGTAAATTATACATCATTCAAATGCAGAACCAACCAACGTTTTGGTCTGCGAAAAGACACGGATTTGCTGTTGAGTTCTCACCGTACTTTCCGCAAAGGATAGCCCTTGCAACGTCGCAGCATTATGGTATAGCGGGTAAGAAAGGCTCTATGTACTACTAGAGGCTAGGCCCAGAGATAGAGTACAAGTTAATTATAATATTGTGGGAAGTGAACGAGTATATTGTATACTACATAATTTATTTTAAATTACTGTGTAAATATGTATCTCTTATAAGACATACAAGAATTAAATCCCATTTATTATGGAATATGAAATGAGAGAGTGAAAAACCTTGTCACATGAGTTGAACCCAGGATCCTGGGTTGGAAAGGAAAGCATTATTCTTAACTACCAAGCTACAACTCTACTGTTCGAACCCAAGACTTTTTGATTACCATTTGGGTGCTCTAACAGCTACAGTATGTACTACAAAGTGTATTTGTATTTTTCCAATAGGACACTTTTTTCATTCGAATTAAAAAGTGTAAAGTGATGTGAACAATTTAATAAATTAAATATATTATTTTACGATTAAATATTAAAATTATGTAGCATTTACTGTAATATACGCAAAATTATTATTCATTTTTTTTGCAGGTTGTGGAACGTTGTTTGTTATTGATGACACTCCAGCAGGTGGTGTTCTCCTTAAAAGGTCTGAATCATGAATGTTTATGTTAACATAATATAATAAAATATGGTATGAGATGGTATGGTATGATATAAGCTATGATATATAATATGATTTATATAGCACTTTTCGATAGTGATGAAGCTTTTATAGTTAATATAATAAGCTGAGCTGAAATGATAAAACATTATATATATAATACAGATATGGGATATGCAGACCTGTCAACCCGTACACATTCGCCGTAAGTCTTACGCATTCCAATCAAATCTTACGGTCTTACGCAAACACCAGCAAAACTTACACTAATCCTAAAATTTGAATAAATTTCGTTACTTTATCAATTTGTAATGAAGTTTACTGTAACTGACATCCATAATCATAACATTCTATCTCCATGATTCAATAACTACTGTATCTGAGATCATTATAAACTCGCTAATATGCCATTTAAGCCAAAGCGTCCAGACCAGGAGCCCTTGGCGGCCCCCTGGCCCCCAGCCACTGTTCATGCCTTCGGCACTCATTATGTATCACCAGATCTTACTCTTTGAAATTTCTCAAGGTTGACAGGTATGGATATGATAAGTGAATATTTATATAGTACCTTTCCATAGTGATAAAAACTTTATTATAGTCTTGTATAGGCTGAGCCTGTTTTTTATGTTGTTTCTTTCTCAAATTCCTCAGCTTTGATTGGAGTGACGGTTTGTTTGATGTCACCTGGGCGGAGACTAATGAGAATCTACTTGTCACAGGGGGTGGGGATGGGTCCATCCAAGTATGGGATATAGCACAGCCAATGGTATGTTTTTTTTTTATTATAACACTCTTAGGTTTTTGGTGTTTGACTGCTGAAATTTATGATAATTGCAGTTGTTATTTAGGTAAATGCTAATTTAAAATCATGTTCGAAAGAGTCTCTATTATAGTTGTTTGTTTGCATTTGCAGGGCCCTCTCAAAGTTATGAAAGAACATGGCAAAGAAGTGAGTATGATCATGCTTCCTTTACTGAAATTGTTACTCTCAATATTTTATTTTATTATTGTATCAGAACAGTACAAGGATCCAATCTTATGATTCCCAGGATCCAGCATTTTTGTTTTTCAGCTGAATTCTAGTGATAGGAATTAACAAATAGGTGAATATTAACACTCTCACCCTGTAATTATATAAAATATAAATACATAAGAAATGTTTGTATAAAACATTGTCTTAATATTCAATTTATTTTGTTACTCATTGAGGTGTATGGAGTTGACTGGAGTCAAACACGGGATGAGCAGTTGGTTGTGTCTGCATCCTGGGATGGAACTATCAAACTTGTAAGTGGTTATGGTACTGTAGATGACTAGAATCTGTGATTCATTGATTAAGGGGTAGCCTTGTAGCAATTTTTGTAGAACCCAGGCTTTCAATTCAATTCAAAATATTTATTCCAAATGAATATAATATATTATACAATTCAAAAGTATTAAATTAATGGAATAGGGCAACCACAAACAAGTAAAGCACAGTGGTGCCCTTTCAAAAAAAAGAATCGAATAAAATAGACAAATAAATAAAGTAATTAATCAAATAATTAACTAATCATTCAAACATCTAAATAACAGTAAAGGTAAAGGTAGGAGGATAACCCATAACTTGCAGCGTCTTTATGCTGAATTGCGTATTGGCGTGGTCTGTGACTACCTAGCAGCCATAAAGGGGCGCTTCATGGTAGTTACATGTTCGCATCATTCCACAACGACAGGGGGCTGCTAAAATGAACATTGGGGTAACACTAAAGATGCAATGGGTTCTTTAAAGTGCACATGAGCCAGATGTATACACTGGACCTCCACTCTAAGTCCTTATCCAAGAAGACTTGGCTCTACCAACTGAACCATGGGCGAGGAGCGGCTGGAACCACCGCTGATATTTAGGCTGTAGATAACTGTGCCCCTTGCCTTACCGCTCGGCCACTCGACTCGCCTAACTAATTAATCAATTAGTAAATAAATAAATAAGTTAATAAAAATAAAGAATAATAATTATACATGGAAACCAATGTAATATGGTAATATATGATAACTTGCAGAATAGATAATTTATGAAATAGTAAAATAATAACTTTTGTGTTAGATTCCCACCATTCAACATGTGATTATTGTTCCAATCCTGTCAAAACTAATATTTTCATAACACATAAAACAGCCATGCACTCCCCTATATTTATATTCAATTTATAGAGCATTATTAACATGTATTGGTTAATTATACTTTTTTGAATTAGAAAGGAACTGTTGATTTTGTTTAGTGATGTATATATGCTGAATTAGCTATTAATGTTCCTCTTTATTTCATTCATTATACAGTGGGATATAACACAACCAAGTTCCTTAGCCACATTTACAGGTCATCAGCATGTGGTCTACTGTGCAATATGGTCGCCGCATATTCCACGCTGTTTTGCATCAGCTTCAGGTGGGGATAAAGCTCAAAGGTCATATGAATTATTTTATTTTATTAATTTTTATCACTCTTTTTTATATTCTTTTTCTGCTCTAATAGAATCATTCATGGAGGTCAATGATAATTTATCATGTATAACTAGCAAATAATACTATTATAGTTGCTGTAATTACTTAAACTGTAAGGTCCACTGATTAATCTCAGATAAGAAAGTATAATGCATACTCTGAGTATTGAAATGCACGCCATCATTTTGGGATTCAATATTTCAACATCAGGAATGATGATGATGGTATGTCACAAAAGGTGACAAGACTCTTTGTATGATGATAACATAGTTTCTGTCAATGTAGTGAATCCCAACACGATGGCATACATTTCAATGCTTGGAGTATGTATTATACTTTCCTATTTTTTTCTTATTTATATTTGGTGAATTATTTTTTATTATTTTGAAACAATAAGCACTTTCCATACCTTTCAAAAGTTTTCTTATGATCTGTTAGACAATAATGTAATTGATATTCATTTAAAAAAAATTTTTTACAAAGGTGACAAGACTCTTCGTATCTGGGACACTAGGAAACCTTATGAAGCTCGGATGGTTATCCCAGCATGCAATGCTGAAGTGTTGACTTGTGATTGGTGCAAATACAATGAGGTGATTGAATTTAAACAAACGTGTGTCATTTTGATATCAGAAACATTAGTGTGCTTAATGTGAGGTCTCAGATTAGCCAACCTTTACCTACTTTACTTAATTTAACGGGATAGACCTAGCTTCTATCTTTGATTGAATATTACCTAAAATAGTTTATTTACCTGACACCCTTTCTGTGGAAGCGGTTTGGTGCAGCGAGAACTGTTTGGTTTCCCAACCTTCGAGGTCGGGTTTTCAATCCTTCGCTGTGTATTTCTCTTGTGTCCTTGAGCAAGGCACTTTATCTACATTGCTTTAGCTATCCATCTGTATCAGTGAGTACCAGCAAATTGCTGGGAGTATGGTGCGGTGGACCAGCGTCCCACCCAGGGGGAGTATCGCGCTCTCATCTGCTTCACGCTACAGAAACTGGGGATAAGCTCCTGTCCTATGAGCCCTGGTGGCTTGGCAAGGATGTACTTTTTTTATGACACCCTCACCCTCTCACAGATGCAATGCTCCGTCTATCTAGTGATCAAGCAAGAAGCAATTTTTTGTCTGATTAAGGAATCTATGTCATTTATCACTATGTATTTTGAAATTAGAACACTTCTTTTCCTTAGAATATTCTTTTAACTGGGTCAGTTGATGCTGCAATTAGGGGCTGGGATTTACGAACACCAAGAGAACCAATTTTCCAGCTTAGTGGGCATTCACATGCAATCAGAAGGATAAAGGTATTGTATTCACTTCTCATTCTGAAGGGACAATATAATGATAGTCACATATTATTCATAGGATATCTAGTATTGGTTAAAGTTCTGGTTGTATACACAGTGCAACAACCAATTAAAGACCCCTCAAGATCATATTGACGATATTTTTTTTACCATAAACTAAGCCTCTAATGGAAGATAGTTCAAGTTCAACTGTATTGTATAATGTTCAAAAGCATTTACACACCAACATTTTTAGTTTCCTCTTCTGATGTTACTAATAAAGCTCACTTTGGTTGAGGCTAAGGTGCCTGGAAATTGCACTCTTACTTTAAAACTCTTACCGGTACTATGTTCTTAATGATAAAAATAATATATCAATAATACAACAATTATTTTTCTTAATACAATTTAGGGGGTGCGATTACACCGGCTGCACACCTCTGCATCTGCCTCATATTAATAGCAAACCTGTTTCACTCTTTCTTTCAGTGTTCCCCCCATGTTGGTAGTATGCTAGCCTCATGTTCGTATGACTTTACTGTGAGGACGTGGGATTTCAATAGGCAAAGCCAGCCTTTAGAAGTTATTGAGCAACATTCAGAATTTGCATGCGGATTAGATTTCAATCTCCACAAGCCTGGACAGGTGATTTAATTTACCATTTTGTTTCTGTTTTAGCTGACTTACAGATTAAAGAATATTCAATAGCAGTACATTTTACACTCATTATAGTATGTGAAGTAAATTTCTTTTATTTTTCAGATAGCAGACTGTGGATGGGATGAAAAGATGTTTGTTTACACTCCCAAATCTCTGCTGCCCTCTGGATGACGATATCAAATATGGCACCAAAAAAAAAAAAACTTAACCTTGTTAGTTAAACATTATTCATTTGATGAAAAATGTCATCATGGTTCTTGAATTTGACTCGTGTTTTTTCACTAATCATATTAGTTAATTGCTTATATTAAGGTATTCAAATCTATTTCAGAAAAACCTCCAGTGATAGTAAAAATATGCCAATTTCATAATTTGTGTCTGAACAAATAGGGATTTTTTTACTATGTAAAGATGCAACACAGGGGTTCAACCCGGTTTTCATAAAATACATAGCTACATTTTGCTACAGTTTTTCCAACACAATTGTTGCAATGCATAGCTGTCTACTACATAATTGGGAAATGCTACCTAATTGATTCCCGATATGTCAAGATAGTTGAACCAAGTTATTAGGTATCACTGCCAAAGATTAAGTGTCGTAATCTTATTAATTCATAAATACGAGGCTTGTTGCTTTTGCCCTGAAAGAATACAGTTTATACAATAAACAGTAAAACTTATGTGTAAGTGTCATGGGCTATTCTATGTTACTTAAAGTAGTAATGATTCCCAACGATATTTTATCCAGGATAAGAGATTGAAAACAAATTCAAATTTTTGTTTACTCTTTAATAAACAATAAAAATTAAAGCACTTTTGAAAAAATCCAGGCACTGCATAAAAGGATTAGCTTTTAAAAAAGAATGTTGATTACAATATTGTATATGATTATAATTTTGATACTCTGTTATCAATAAAATTGATACTAACCATTTTATCATTATTAATGATACAATGAAAGTTTCTTTCTAGCTAGTAACAGCTGCCACACATGTGAATTGACTGGAGTATGAATGAAAAGCTCTAGGCTTAGATTAAGTAAGTCTTGTACAGTGTAATTGTCCAGTGTTATTATCTCCACTTTTATAGTAAAATCAAGTTTAAAGAGCAATGTGATGCAATTTTGTCTTGCATATAACAGTTGATTGTAATCAACTGAAATATGACATTATGGTTCTAAATTTTGTCATATATTGTTATTTTTAAAATGATTTTCCACCAGCATAATATATTAAGGTATTTACAGTACAGTATATCAATTAAATCAATTCTACTAATTTGTTTCTGATCAAGTAGAGAATGTACACCATGTGCAGACATACACAGGAGAGGGTTAGTTTATTTGACTTTTTTTTATGAAAACAAATTGTTTACTTAAAGTCACTTCATAAATGTACATATGATGTCTATACATGTCTGGCTTATATTCCTTGTGTTCTCAAATCTGTCAATTAATTACTATAATCGAAATATGTTTTAATATGTCAATCAGTATTCAATGATTATATTGCAATAAAAAGTGTGTTCCATATAAGTTGTGTCAGGGTATTATTTTATAGATTATCTCTTGGCATTGCATTTCACAATACAAACACATACCCGTATTTATTTGAATAAATGCCCCTTCAGAGCCTTATTTTGAATAAATGCCTCCTCCCCACTCCACTAAATGACTAAAACAAAACTAGTGGAGGCAGCACCATTCTCAACACATTCTATTAAAGTTCTACTCCAGTAGAATTACATTTTTCTAACTGAGTTAGTTCCACATTTACAGTTAAATAAGGGCGTTTATTTGAGTATATACGTATACATTTTACACCAAAAAAAAAACTCCTCCCTCGAATAAATGTCCTCTCAAAAACCCTTCTCAACAATAAATCCAGGGGCATTTATTCAAATAAATGCTGTACTTCTTGAATTTATATCCTAATTATTTATGTACAATATTATTGTATACATAGAGTAATGTATATATTATAATTGCACTCACTCTTTCATTTCATGTTTTCAACTTTCTTGAATTCTCAAGAGCAATATTGTCTCTTTGCAATATTATATCATATTGGTCTCGGGCAGTACTGCTAGAGAGGTACCCTAAAGCCTCAACTTTACCTCAGTGGTCTTTTAAATACACTTGTGCTTGACTTGAAAAATAAAAGTAGGCTCCCAGATGGTGCATATGTCTACTCCTAGTTATCAGTTTTGCATTTTTATGATTTTCAAATGGTTTTGTAAATTAATATATTTAGATGTATGAACAACATACGTAGTTTGATTAAAAATCATATCGCATAAGCAATAATTTGAGTGTGAACACTCCAGGCCAGACAAATTACTACCTAACCTCATTAAATATGGACCATTATACATCAGTAACAAAACAATTCTAAATCAATTATGTGTTCTTGGATTTAAAGTATATTGCATTAGCAATAATTTGTTCCCATTTAGGCCAGAGAAATTACTATCTAACCTTATTGAATAATATGGACAATTGCTAAGTTTAGTAGGGCTACCTGTATTTACCATTATCACAGATAATATAGTATTGCATAGCTGGGTAGATACATTAGCAGGAAGTTAGTTCCACCAGGCTGTTTGCCAGACACAAGTAGAAAGTTGAGTAATTCATGGAGCTAACATCACAAGAGACAATAAAAATTTGTTGGACTTTAGGATGTTACTTCATAAATGCATCTGACGTACATAGAATTTATAAAGATTGAGGTCCTTCCTTGAACATTGCTTAGCTCCATGACGTGCTAGTTGTACATTTTCCTCATAGAGGGCTTTAGAAAGACGAGAAACTGTTGGTGGGGTCACATGATATGAGCTGTCCAATGAAAATGCACTATTATGTAATCTGAAAAAGAAAAAACACAGAAGTCATATAAAAATATATATACATGTAATAGCCTAGTAGTTTGAAATCAGTATTTTGAAATATATCACATATAAATATAATATATATTTGATATACTTATATGTATAACAGACTTATGTACTTACAGTCTTGTACATCTTTTTAAACATCTTTTGACAGATTTGCCTGTTGGTGACAAATGCTCGATGCAGCCAATACGCGAGTTAACTTCTGTCTTTACAAAGCGATGATACACGCTGACATCAGGTCGATTGGGACTGCTAATTTCGACTCCATATGTTTCTTTCATCGTTGAAAACAAATCCTAAAGAAGATATACTGATATTAATTTTACACCCGTATTCTTAAAACAAACTTTAGTCGAACTTCGAACTAGAACTTCATTTAGTGCCAGTTGTAACTTCAACTTCAATTTGTATTCACAAACAACGTAGTCAAGTTTTAACTACGACTAAATCAAGTCCAAGTTTTAGTTCAACTGAAGACGACTGGCAAGCCACGACTATCAAACTAACCAATGAAAAAGGGCTAACTTTAATAGCAGACAAAATTTTAGAGATCCGGTAACGCGGATGAATATTAAACTGCCGTCATAGGCCCAGTGTACACAATTGGCTAAGTGCAATTTAAAGAACCCAGTACCAACTTTCGAGATAAGTATGGGTTACCCCGATGAACCGGTCCATACAGCCACTGTTGCCCTGCGGTTATGGACCCTAAGGTAATTTGCAGGATCATAAACTGTGAGAAAAAGGCGCTATGTAATTACTGTATTATTAGTAAACTATTATTAATAGATTGAAGCAGTTTGTACCTTAAAGGAAACATAAGAAGTGTCTTCATTCTGGTTTCTAAGTTCTTGTGAGGAGCCTGTGGTACCATCATCACTGGATGAGGCGTCGTCTGAGGTAGATGACCCTTCCTGAGTCACAAACGATGCTGCAGACACTTGGCGTAGTATTGGCTGCTGAATCAATGTGGATCTAGCAGAAAATATATACATCAGAAATGATCAAGAAAAGTGGTAAGTTACTATATTTTATAGTGCGGTTACTTATATACATTATATGTATAGTAATAACTTCAGTATGATAATAGCCTGTTAAATAACATGTGAGGTCTCGCCACAAAATAAGTCTTATGGTTAGAAATTCAAAAATTGAGTTTACACTGTATTATATTTGGGTAGATCACATTATAAGCTTTTATTTAGTCTTTGAATGGCTTCCCTACTATAAGTAAATCCAGAGATGTGAGCATTCAAAGTTTAGGTGTATAAGAACCATGTTTTGATAAAATCGGCTTCAAAGATAAACTAACCTGTACAAATAATATGACAAGAATTACAGAATATGTGCAGAGAACACTGTTTTGTCAAGAAAATTCACTTACAAAGTATACAATCATAAAATATAAGTATCAAGTTATTCAAAAACATTGAAATCAAAATGTTGTAAAAATGTTGACTTTGGCCTGTTTTGGTGAATATCTCAATATGATTTCACCAACGATGCGTCTCATTTCGTGGCGAGACCTCACATATTATTTATAAAATGAATAACAAAAATAACAGTATCCAACAATTCCATGCTTTATAGAATTATAATAGTCATGTTTACACAATTTTTGTCTAACCTTTCTTGACCTCTCTTGGGTTGAACTCTCACTTCAAATGGACTGTGGCAGGAAGCATTCTTAGGCATAAAATCCCTATTCAAAAAAGTACATAATTAACATAATGAGATTAACTGAAACTCATGAGTTACATATTATATATTCTTGCATGCAAGTAGAATATCAGAGATGGTTGATGCTAAAATCTTTTCTGGTTCTGAACCTAGAATCTTTCATTCTAAGGCAAGGTAACTAGCCACAATGTCAAACAATTAATACCATATCTATACTCACCTAATAGAATGAATCATATTGGTATAGAAGAGTGTCTCAAGGGACGTCAAATCAGTTGGACGATATAGGTCCGTGTAGACGTCAACATGATCATCACCGATGGGTCCTCTGTGGTACTCCACCACAGAATTCTGGACCTCGTCACGGGAGAATGGTAGTGCACGGAGAACGCCCTCAGACAGCCAGTTTGTATAGCTATAGAGAGCAGATTATTATGTTATTTTTAATGCAATCATCATAATTGGAATCATTATTGAATTTAATAATTAACTATGCATATTTTTTAATATTTTAGATATTTTCGAAAAGTCTACATAGTTTTGTTAAACGTTTATATAACCAGATCAAATCACAATGCATAACATTAAACCCTAAAAACTTAAATAAAAATTGAATTGCTCTTGTTTAAGTATCAAAGCACTATCTTACAATGAGACTTATATTAAAATAAATTTTTTCTGATTTCCTGATATTTAATATGAAAATCTATAAATTGACTACTAGCCACTTGAAGGGTATAAGCAGCTACTATAAAATATTTTTAAGTGTCTGTTAATTTGTAACAAGATTTGTTCACATTCTAATTTTAGTTGAAAAGTAATAACTTTTGATGAAAAACTGTATACAAACAGTGGCAGATCCAGAAATTTGAAATAGAGAGGAAACAGGGAGGGACTTTCACAGATATAGGGTCCACCCACCTCGGCCCCAGCATGGTTGGGAAAATGAATGATTATGGTACGTTTAGATGAATAAAAGTATAAAATATTTTTCATATTTAAGAATACGTCCACTTAATAGAGGTGTCCCAAAGGAGGGGGGGGGGGGTTCTACTGCAAAGGAGGGGGGGGGGGGGTTCTACTGTACTCTATCAAATTTTTATTGTTCAAGCCTATTAGTATTTTTTATAATGCACCGCACCAGTTTGCTTTTTTCTTATGCTTGCCGATCGTTGACTTATGATGTAGGTAATAGTCAGAGGATAAGTCCCACAAACAGACCCTCTCCTTCAGCGGTTGATATATCCCTAGGAACAGATTGATTGCAGACTGCTTCTCAGCATCTGAAGAGATAAAAATATAATAACATAAATTGAAGATGAAAGTAGTGTTGGAACACAACACATTAGTTCTCCATATCATCAAACATTTTCCAATAACTAAAAAATTTAGGCAAATTGATTAGACGAACCAGAGAATGCATTGCTGAAGTATCTTGACATAGTCTGCTTGATGTCTCGTGAATGTGACGTCCAGAGCGAGAGTCTTCGATAGTCACGTATGCTATGCACAAGCTGTGAGCCACCATATTGAACAGCCAATGTATCGCCATGATCCTCGTACATATCCTCCAACATTCTATAAACAGAAATGCGACAAAACTGAATAAATCAAGTAAATCAAATTCAAGTAAGTCAGTTGGTAGAGCAATAGAACTGTAGTCAGCAGGCATTAAGTATTAATATTGATTTAGAAAAACTAAAACCATTCCTCATTTACATAGTTTTATTTATTATTTGGTTATTTATATAGCGTTTTCATTGCAGATATGAAGTGCGTCTGTCCCCGGTCTGGATCTACATGCTTAAGTGTTGCTGCTATAATTGGCGTAGGAGCAGGCAACTGCACCAGGTACCCATTTATAATCCTGGGTGGAGAGAAACAATGCATATAAAGTGCCTGGTCAAGGACTAAAGCGAAATGCACAGCAAGGGATTCAAACTCTGACCTCTGAGTTGGGAAACCAAACCGTTTCCCACTGCAACAGACCACTTTTCACTATCATAATTACTGTATTATTATAAATATAATTATTACCCTCTTTTTATCAAAATTACCTTAAAATATCAGAATCAAATTCAAGGTCGACCTTATCCAACACACCCAGACAATAAAGCTGCAATAATAGAGAAAAGCATATTTTTTATAAAGTCATTTGAAAAAAGGTAAATTTGTTAATAGGTTTAATATACAGTATAGCAATTATTATAAATGTTTTGCTACTTACTTGATGCGAAAGTGCAATTTTACCAGCAACAAATTGAGCAGTGTTTGTCCTATCAAGACAGTCCACACAGTTGGTTCTCAGTACCCCAGTCTAAAAGCAAAAATATAATCATGTTTACACAAGAAAGAATAAAAATATTAAATATTGATAGGAGGAAAATAAAATTGATATTTTCGAGGTGTGTTCTTGTTAACAGAACAATGGCAATAGATGGTTCACACACAAGCATTATGTAAACAGTCATGTAGAAAATTGGACTCCTCCAATCTCGGGAATGGGCATCTTCTTAGTTATGCACCTGTAAATTCAGTGCAAACACCAACACTTTCCATAGTAGAGCATTTCAAACCTATTCAATGTCTGCAGAATATTTGCTAGTGATAGTTTTATTACCTGCTTATAAATGGACAAATTTTCATAGTTTGTGTGTTGGTGTCCAGTGATGGCGCTGTTTATTCCATAACCGCAAGCAAAGAAACCGATCCTGGATATGGCCGAGTTGCAAGCCTGATGAAGTGTTTCAATAACATCATGCTTAGGACTAGAAATATAAAGCAAATGACATTGTTACTACGAAGGTTTTATTTTTATCTTCACCATAATCACCCAAGTCTAAGAAACCTAATAAATATAATAAAAAATTAATAATAATATTTACAATTGAACAAACAAATACCTGGTACAATTAAATCAAATTTATAAACATGAACAAACAAGAGAAAATATAATTGATTAGTAGTACTAAAAACATGTCCTTATTTTGATTATTATCATTATAATATATAATTATAATAAAATTATAATTATTATTATTATAATACAACACATAGAAACCATGTAGTATGCGCTTTACAAGTTCCAAACCATTACCATTACTACTATGAATATATTATTACAAGTAAAAGTACCTTTTAGTTAGCCTGGCCATATCCACAGCTACGTATTCAATTGTATGTTTTGGTGGCAAGAACTGATTCAGATAAGATATGGCAGCTAACAATTCACTACTCAGGATTCCCTCTCTTATTCTTTTCTCTCGCTTCTGTTTGCAAAAAAAAAAAAAAAGTGAATGGAAAACAATTAACATCAAGGATCTTCAGGTTGTACTGAATTCTGGAGAGCGAAAATAAATCAACGGAAATTAAATAACATAATAAGAAACTACTGACTATATCAGTAGCTTGATTTCTGAGATTCTTGCCTTCTGAATTCAGGGTCAAGGGTTAAATTTGAGACACCATGGTTTTTCTTCTCAAGACTACAAATGATCCACTATCTAAAGCCCTCTCCAGACTATCAAATTTTATTTGACAAAAACCTGTGACATGCCTAAATATGGTCATGATGACATCACATTCATTCCTTTTTTTTTTATTACCGAACCATCTATATTTTTTAACTTTGAGTTTAATCTGATTGGTCAGTTTTTATTTGCTTTCTGTTATACTTCTGTAAATATTGTAAACATATATGAATGGGTGAGATTTTTTCACCAGTATTCTTGAAAATGATCAAATAGATCGAAACGTTGAATCTCAAAATGTCTCTGTCTCTTTAATGAATTACTCTCACATTACGAACATATATAGGAACATCATGACTATATATGGACATTTTATATCTAGATAAGAGCTTAAGCCTTGTAAATTTCCATCTTACCTTCACTAGATTGAGGACAATGACAGGTGCACCATATCTAGACAGTACTTCGTTAAAGTGCCGGGCGCATCCATGTGCTAATGGGTCGGATTTGTCAACTTGAAAAAAAAACAGAAAATCACACTTAACACATTAATAAAAGGTATTCATACACTTGAATATTTATTTAATTTAAATGCAAATCAACTATATGTTTTTAAGTGAAAGTCTCTATCTTCGAAAAAATATAGATGGTTCGGTAATAAAAAAAAAAGGAATGAATGTTCTCAATAAATAAAAATAATTGAATACATATGTTTTCAAGTTTATTTATTTTATTGTAAATGCACCACTTTAAAAAACAGTTCATGAATGGTGAAACTGCCTTCAGTATAGCGATATTAAATAAATAAAAGAGTAATAACAAACCTGTTATTGGTGGTTTTGGGACCATGTTGGAAATATCTTGCGACCAGAACGAAGGTACTGAGCCACGCAGTTGAATGAAAGATGTATAGCGACCTCTAGAGAACTTTGTAACTGTTCCATCATACACAATTTGTTCTGTTTCTACTTCATTGGCAACGTTTCCCTAAATCAAAATTTTGTATTCATAAATTGTGGATATTGATAATGAACTGTTTCTTTTTGGTTATGGTGAATGCTTTTTACTGGTGAGAAATCGTCAAAAATTGCAATATCTCTCAGTGGCAACTAGGCCTAAATGTACCAACACAACACAAGGCAGATATATACTACACACAGGTGAATATCAAACAATCAACTACGATTTTTATAGTGCCAATATTCATGGCAGAATGCAATGTTCAGTGGTGCTATGACAATAGTGTTTACTCAAAGTGCACACTGACTACCAAGTTTAATTAACAATACTATATTTTATTTTAAGATTACAAAAAAAAAAAAAAAACGAGAGAAAAACGAGAAAAAAAAAAAACAAACAATTTACATGCGTGTCAAAAAAACTTAGTATGAGACGGAGAAGAGATAAGATTAACGATACTGACAGAAGATGAGGTTTGATATATGATATGATTACTCCAGTGAACAGAGATTTTTTTTTTGTTCAAAGAACCATTATGTATGGGAACAACAGCTTATGGTCTTATCTAAGTAGTAAGTAGAAACAGTTGACACATCGGTTGTGGCTTGGACTTCCAATCTTGTGGTCAGGGGTTCAAAACTCTCACTGGTCAAGTCGCTTTGTCCTTGGGCAAGGCACTTTATCTATGTTTGTCTCTCTCTACCCAGGAGGATAAATGGGTACCTGGTAAGATGTTGTAGCATTGAATGTATGCTGTCTCTTATACACATCTAGATGTGTATAAGAGACAGGTATTATTATCAATATAATTATTACCT